TGGACAATCCATTAAAAAGATGTTAAATGACTGCTGTTCTGCACTGTTAGTTCTATACTTAATAGGCTATTTCCGTTCTGAAATAAGATTGACATTAAATAGAAAAAAAGCACTTAGAGTATAAAACAGAGAAAATCCATATTTCTCATAAGTAATTCGAGAAAACGTTTCAGAGCATTTTTACATGATACTCATATTAGTACCTATATAAACAAACAATAATTCAAAATTGAAGCCCAAACTTTGTAACTTTCTCTTAAAAAAATCTATTTTGCGGTTCTCAGCTGACAGCAGAAGTGAAGCAGTGATATGAGCACTGAATGAAAAGCTCTAAAGCAGTTTTGTCACATACGGATACAATCCTGCAAATAGTTCCTTTCAAAAGTGTATTAGATTCAGTACGGCGAATGTTAAACCAAATGCATTTAACTAGAGCTCAGCAGAAATTTAAAAAAAAGTAGCATTTGAAGTAGCAGATTTCACCTCTGGATCTGAAAAATGCAGACTTCTTCTTCAGCTCTTGAAGAGACTTTCTCACACGGCGATGAAGTGAGGTCTTCTCCATACAACAAAAAAGAAGAACTCATCCTGGAAATGATAACATCAGTACAGGTAGCTAAAAAATGACATTGTGGGAGACCCACTGCACAAGAGTGAAATATCAGGTTTACTTTTTGTGTAGCATTTGCTAACCTTCTAATGAACTAATTCCAGAATTTCCCTATTCCCTATTTCCCTATTCCAGAAATCACTGCTCTGACAGTTATAAGACTCAGAAGAGCCTTGAAAGACAAGACACAGCCTTGAAAATGGCTTGTAAAAAAAACCCCACAGAGAAGCCTTTAAGTGCAACCTAAAAGGTTGTGACTTTCCAAGACCAGGACTGAGTAATTGTTAATACACCGTAGTTACTGTAGATCAGGGCTCCAAGTTCCCAGGGGGGAATTTAATCAATCGAATTATTTTCTCTTTCTCAGTTAAATGTACATAAATCATTTTACCTCAAACCTGATAAACATGGAATTGATTCCAGGTACAGCAGATACAATTCCTTTACTGACAGTATATTAGTATTGCAATTATCCATGCCATTAAACAAGTAAGCCCTTTAGGTAACAGAGGGCTGAGATCATTCAAAAGCTGAAAGACACTGCAGTTCCTCAGAAACTGAGTCCGAAACCTCTGCAATAAATATTGATAAGGGGAGCACACAGAACTACTGCATTTCAATCAGTAGAGATCTTTTCTGTATGCTGCCCTACAGGAGTGATGCTATTAAAAACTCAAGCCACAGTGCCTGTTAACTGCCTTTCATACTTTAATCTTCTATGCTCTTAGCTAATGGAAATGGGGTTGAGTTTTTAGTTTGATCGTTTGTCCTTTAGGTGAGATTGTCCAAGCTGCAAAACTTTCCGATTACTGCTTAGGAATGTGCAGTAATAGTTTTAGAAATATCATCTATATACGGCATGCTTTTTGTAGCCGCCAACAAATATTGGATGGAAATAACCAAATTGTGCAAATGTTGTTTCTTTATGTGGATATTTTTTTGTGAAGTAGTCTTGTTGGTAAAATCAGGATGTTTCTCACCGCCCATCTCTCAATTCTTCTGATGCTGACAGAGAAATATCCTGGTTTTCTCTTCTCTTTCTCTGAAAGCTCAAATATGAAGCATAACTCATTTTCTTAAAGCCAAAGCTAATAAATCATAAAAGATCATAAGGAACCTATCACTCTGTGAATATGGGTATAACATTTTCTTAAGATTGTTATATACAGCGTATACACAGCCTGCAGTTTCAAGCCTAGCAAAATGCTACAGCCACATGATCCATCATTAATAGGCCAGGATCAAGGAGACAGTGAGGCATGACACCTCACCAAAATCAATGGAGAGGTCCAAGTGCTATAGTCTGGGTAAGAGTGTATAGTTGCTACAGGTCCCAGCTTGTGTGATTGATGTTAACTGCACTGTATTGATCAAGTCCTGGGACCTCACCTGCTGCCCTTCATGTGGCCTCATCCTGTCATGACAGCCTTCCTGCAGGACAACACAGCACACATCCTCATGCTCCTTTCTTGTGAGATAAGAACATGACAGTCATGCCTTACTCGCCAGGCTTGAGACATTGAAGAATTAAGACATCCATTCCCTTGGATTGCACATGTGTCATGTAGATCATGCGTTGCATCTAGGGTTCATAGTCTAAACAGGTACATGCTTCTTCAGACTCTATCAGAGGAATGGGACAGAGTTCCACAAGACTGCATCTGCAACCTGGCAAAAAGCATAAAAGATGTGCAGCTTGTACTTGCATCTATTAACTTGTGAGCTTCACAGCAGACCCAGCTGATCAACCCAACTGCTGCCAAATTTTTATTAGCACAGTGAATTTTCCTCTCATATCTGTGCAATAAAACATCACCCGTGCATCACTGATAGGAACTTGTTGTGAATTTGCTAAACGTCTAAACTACAAATTTCATTTGATGGTTGAAATAGATATTTAGTATGTAAAACATTATGCAGAATGCAGACATAAAAAATAAAATAGGTCGTAGAAACATGTGATAGACGTTCTGCAGCAAAATACTGATTATTAACTATTAAGTAGATATATTTTTCACAAGTTTAGACAAGAATTGATTTAATGCCCAGCTGTCAGTTCACTATTGACAGGACAATAATGGTATTGTTCAGTATGCCAAAAATGCATAATGTTTTTTAATGTTGTGCGTATTCCAGATTGTACTGCTCCATGATGCAGCTACAGTTTTTGAAAAGCCACATGTAAAAGTACACCATATACAGTATTAACATTTTAAAATGATGTTTTTTACAATATCTTTATTTTCTGTGAATGGATCCCAACGGATGAAAGCTGAATGGTTAGAGGAAGACAGGAACTATTCTGGGCAGCTACAGTACATGATGCCTCTACTGCAGAAATCTGAATCCTTTTTTCAATTTACCTGTCTTTTAACAAAGAACATCATAAAATTCATGTTTAAAAAAAAACAGGCAAGAATACAATCGATCGCTCATACCAAAAATGAATGCGTTGTGCCATTTGTTTGCATACATGCGTAATCAACTAAACAAATTGTGAATGAATGCCGTTTCATTTTCTTTCAGCAAAAAGCCATCCAGAAAATACATTACCCACCTTTTTTTCAAAGCCTCTACAGAATTTTAAGTACACCTTGGATATAATATAGTGAGTAATGAGCCTGAACATTAAGTCTGTGAAGCCATATTCCATTATAAAGTAATAGGCCTAAATAAATCACTTTGTAATTGAGACCAATCCTTCATATCTGTTGGACAAGTCGATTTTTAAGACCTAATTACCTCCTCCTGAGATTCCTAACAGAATGCATGGGTTTCCGCAAGGGAGAGAGGAGAATCATTGGTTGGTAATTCCAGAGATGGAAACGATCCAAGGATTAATAAAAAATTCTCTCGAGCCACAACAGGCTTTAACAGGTTTATGACAAATGCATACACTCTTAATTCGCATCTAACTCGTAATGTATTTCAAGACAGGAATAGTTCTACTGGATGTTTCTTTAATTATGTGTCAGAGGCCACAAAAACTGACAATGAGTTCGTCTGCAAAGTGTTATTTTTAATTCCGGCAGTTCCTCGTACACACAAAGAAAAACAAGTCAGGCTTTTTGTTTTAAAAAGAAAAGCAACCATGACTCACTTAGCGACTCATACATTACTGTACGTGGGGAAGAAAGTGGCAAGAGAGGGAAGAAATAGTGGGTCATTCATTTACAGCTTCACTTGGGCAACTCAACTTGCAAGAAATGGAAATTGGACTTTAATTTCACAGACCCTTCAACAAACTTCATTGCATTTTATTTTTCACCCATCCCACCATCAGTTTTGCAACTGTTTCATCCAATACAGCTTCGCGGGGGAGCCAGAGCCTACTGTATGAAAGAGACACCAGTCAACCACAGGGCACACACAGATACGAAAACACACACTCACACCAGGGCCAATTTCCCCAGAAGCTACCAGTTTGCTTTTGGACTGTGGGAGGAAACCGGAGCACCCGGAGGAAAGCCACACACAGACAGAGGGAGCATACAAACTCCACACAGACAGCACCTCAGAAATGGAACCCAGGGGCCCCAGCGCTGACAGACGGCAACGCTAAACACTGCGCCCATCTTATTGTTGATGCCTGGGGTGAAATAAGCGTTTGCTATACAAACTAATTATAATAAATAACAATAATTCTTAAGTTTACTGAGCAGCAAGAACCACGGCATTAAAACAGTGAATTCCTGAGCTCGACAAGCATTAGTCTGCGCACAAACTGAGAAACCATGTACTATTGCCAATAAATATACAGGAAAAATATACTGTGTGAGTTGATGAAGAGGATTTAAAATGTAGACTTTTGTGTGGCCAGGATTTAATCTGAAATAGCTTTGTAAGGTGCCACTAAGCAGGGGCAATGGTCAGATATCTAGGGTTTTATTAAATGCAGAATTAATCCACTTAGAGAGACTACACCTGTAGATTCCAGAACATTTCTTCCCGTCTAGCAACCAGCACCAGCAGTAGTTCTGTTACTCTACATTATCCAGCACACAAGATCACATATCTTTTTCCGGACTCTCTCTCCTGCTGTATCTTGCTATTCAAGCAAATTATGAAGTTAATATTCACCTTATTCATTGCGATTGCCCATTCTATTTTATATGCTTAATCGTTTTTCATGACTTACTAAATTACTGGATTATGTTTATGCTATTTTACTTGAACAGTCAGTACCAAGCTATGAAGCTTTCACACTTTACTTATATTGTTACACTTTCCGTTATACAGTATATTACATTTTTTTTAACTTAATGTCAAGGTTCTAGGATAGAGGCTTGAGCCAAATGAATTGACAGTAATAACAGCTGACATGCTTCGCTTTATGTAAAATATACTGCAATAATTCGTAATGCCAAAAACATCAAATCAGGAAAAGAGAGTAGTTTGTTCACTTTAATAAATGGGGAAAACACAAGGTAAAGCTTTATCCCATAGAATTCCAATACACGTGAAAAAGAAAAACTGTACAGATAACTGTGTGAGGAACAGTAAAAGAACAGCGTAAACATACACATATTCACAACTCCTTTTTCAGAACTCATCTCAAATATTGTGTAATTTTGCCAAATACAATGCACACTACAGGCACGCCAAAGCTTTTGCATTTATACTATGGTAATGTAAATAAAAATGATAGAATCATTATGATGTCCAAAAAATTTGAAGAATCTTGACGACTTCCAGTGGAAAATAAATCTTTCAGTCTGGTGTTAACTCAAAATCACTTGGGCAAAAAAACAGTACATCCTAAGTGCCTCTTTAACACAAAATGCGGACTGCGTTACAAATCTTCCACACTTCTTGTGTGGAACACAATCTTCAGTTTGGCTTGGACTGATGTCTTCTTATTGCCTGTATTTCAAAACAACCTTGAAACAGCACAGTCAAAGCTGAATCTTTGGTGATATTTTGAGTGTGCTTGACTAGGGAATTAAACACAGCAACAGCCCAGAAAGCCTGTTTTAACACTAAATTCTTTTTTTTTTAAAAAGCAGCTTGGATTTTTTTTGTACTTATTCAACTCAAGTAAGGTTATTTAAAACACAAATTTAAAACTAAACATGTTCTCAGTGCACTTTTGAAATCTTATTTATCCTTACCTATTCTCCCTGTAATGTTTTTTTTTATGTTCTACTAATTTCAATGGATGTTTTTTGCTTTTGTTTTTCCCTAAACATGGTGCTGTCACACATTAGGCACTCATATATCTATATGTATTCCCTAAAGGGCAAATTCTGCAGACTCTCAGCTCAGCTCAAACCCAGCGGATGACTCTATGGCATACAGCAGTTTATTCCTCATAAGGTGTTCGTCGCAGAACTCGGGAAGCTTCAGCAGGTTCATGCAGGTACTGGCCGTTGGCAGACGCTCCAGATCGCTCCCGCCATTATGAATGCAAAAGGCAGGGTACAGCTCCTGTATCAAGACATGAGGACGTTAAGCGTTGATTAAACACAGTTACACCTTTAAGTAAGTGACATGTGTTTTATTTTAAAGGTACCGTCTAAAGTTATTCTAAGTGCACCACAGGTTAAAAACCACAAGCAGCAAAACATCTCTGCTAACTTTTAATCTGGCCTTTTACGTAGAAAAGGGGCTTAAATTGGACTCTCATCCATTTCTGAATCTGTGGGGAATATCTGTTAATGAACATCCAGTGTAGGAATTTTCCTAGGAAGTGTGTGAGCTCCTACCCGTTTATCAGTTTCAAAGAGATCTTCACTACAACGAAGGTACGTCACCCGAAAGGAACAAGCCATCCGAAGAGTGAGAACTCCTACTATAGCTTCCCACAATTCTCCATGCATCTGTGCTCTTAGAATTGTCTCACGTGTTATTTATCTAAAAATTGTTACACATTTTATCTCGTCAACCATTGTACCAGCGTAACAAGCTATGATATCCAAGAAATAGTGTTCTTACTTTGACAGTTCAGTTCTTGGGTAAAAATATTAATACTAAACCTAAGAAATGAAATGGAAGATTTGACATGTTACAGAAGTTTCATTGCCGGATTACATATTTTCACTTAACAGGTTTTAAGGAGTGAATAACATTCATATATTGAGGGCTGGGTGTATCAACTTAATTAAAAATTAAAGTGTGAAAAGGTTCAGCTTGTAACCTGTTTGTGTAGATGATATATGGCAAACTGCACACAAAAAGGATAATGTTATCTTGCATTACTCCGTTTGATAGTAGTCTTCAAAGATTAAAACTAACAGTCACTGTGCTTTTCCTAGGCAATGAATCCACATTTTGTTCTGGAAAGGAAAAAAATGGCTCAAACTTGTTGTAAACAGGAGTAAAAGCAATAAAAAGGCAGAAGAAGTGCTTGCAGGTCCAGTGAGATGTATACTGCTCGAACTGAAGATGACGTTATAAGACAATTACAACACACCATTAACACTCTATTTCTGAGACTGCATTCATTTTGTCACCATACTGTAAAACGAGTATTGTAGCCATAGAAACAGTTCAAAGAATCAAACAAATTATTTTCAGTTTTGGGTTAAAGGAATTTGAACTCTGTAGGTCTGAACAAAGAAAGCTATTCAGGGATTCAATTCAAGTTCTCAAAATCCACAAAGACATTGATAAAGTGGACCCAACAAGTTTCAAGTTTAATTATTAACTGTGGACACAAATTCACAAACAGAAACTAAGAGGAGATGCATTTAGGACTGAAAACAAAAAAGCACTTCTTTCACAACAACACTCTGAGGACTTTGCTCATATGTGTTGTTATCCTAAAAACAGTAATTTTAATAAGAGATTATGGAATGTATTAGTTACAAGCATTGTCACACTCTCTTCTGCTTTCTGTAACCTTTCTCTTTCATTTTGGTCCAGTTTTTAACCATTTTCTTTTTCATTATGCAGCCACCCAGTTTAGAACAGTCAATTATTTTGCTTCCATCTTTGTTCTCATTAACAACACCTTTACTGTGCAGGGAGAATGGGGATGAGGAGATAAGCTCTTCACACCTGCCCACGCAACCTTTTACAGGTTAACATACAGCTAAGGGTCAGTGCCAACTGAAGATGCCACACGTTCCTCACTGACAGCTTGTGGGTGCCTGGGAAGTGCCAGGACTGTGCTTTGCCAGGAGCTGTGCCTCACTAACCTCAACCCTATAGCCAGCAGCCATATCACCCTGAAACGTACAACTCACAACCCACTGAAGCTCAGCAGGCGTGAGCCTGACCAGTACCTAGATAGGAGACCCTGGGAAAGCAAAGGTTGCTGCTGGAAGAGGTGTTAGTGAGGCCAGCAGGGGACCATCACCCTGCGGTCTGTGTGGGTCCTAATGCCCCAGTGTAGTGACGGGGACACTATACTGTAAAAAAAGACGCTGTCCTTCGGGTGAGACATAAAACCAAAGTCCTGACTTTAAAAATTTTAAATTTAAAAATTATTAAAAATCTCAGGGCATTTCTAGAAAAGAGTAGGGGTGTTATCCCAGTGTCCTGGCTAAATATCCCTTTGGTCTTTACCAATCATGGCCTCCTAATAATCCCTCTGAATTGGTCTCATCACTCTGTTCTCCTCCACACTGATAGCTGGTGTGTGGTGAGCATTCTGGCGCACTATGGCTGCTGTCTCATCATCCAGGTGGGGCTGCACATTGGTGGTGGTGGAGGGGAGTCCCCATTACCTGTAAAGGGCTTTGAGGGCAGTGTCCAGAAAGACACTTTATTGTCAGGATTGTTATTATTATTTTACCTAGTACAGTATTGTCTCAGGCAGTTTGATACTTTGATATTTAGCTGTGCAACGTGCTTCTCTATGTACATCTTTTGGCTGGTACTTGTAGAAACAAGATACTTTGGCACATCATCATCTTCATCATACCCCAGTGCAGGGCAGTGTTTAGCCACTTAAGAGCTGCTGTATGGGGAACGCCAGTCACAATCCTTCTTCTGTTCAACGTAAAAATCTACTGATTTTGTATGCTGTATTACTAATAGACTATTTTGCAGGAAGCATCATATTTAATACACTGGTTTACCTGGAGAATCATTTATTTCAATTACTCTACAACAATATTTAGATATACGTCACTTATCTCAGTTTTACCACTGCAGTCCTTTGTTTTGCAAGGATGACAGACTTCGAAGAACTTTTATTTTTCCCCACAAGGAGCTTTATTGTTTTTTACGTAGAAGGCAAAAATGTTCAGTTGTTAACATCAGAAAACTGCTGGAAAATGCTCTGATACTCCTGTTTGAAGATTTGCAGCAGCTGTGGCTTACAGAGGTTTTCTCGACTCGCACGGCTATTTTAAGACATGGCGGAGGTTCAACAATTTATGAGCCCAGTTAAATGGATCCGAAGGCTTTGCCGTAACAACCCCATTTTTCTGACAATTAACGTATTAAACTATCATTGCTTATTGAGAATGTGTCATTCTGGGAAAGATAATTTTGAGAAAAGGGTTTCCATCACCTTTTTTAAATGGCTTATCCTGACAGTGCTATTTCTTGTCTAATGAATTCTTTGACATTTACTGCTCCTAATTAAAGATAAGCTGGCTGTAGCTGAGGGCAGAGTCAAAGTGCAACCTCGGAGCGCCGTACCTTCCAACCAAGAAGGCTACAAACGTCATTTTTCCCCAAAGTCAAATGAATGAAATTAGACATTTCAATGTTCTGTCTTTAAATATTTTGGGAGAATGACGGGCTGTCCATTGCGCTTATATAACCACCTATACAATATGAGAGACATAGGGGAGGAAATCTGAGCAATAAAACCAATCAATTGACAATTACAGCTCTCTACTGTACTGCATAAGTGCATAAAATCCTTAATGGATTTCAACTCCTCTAATGGCCATCAATGTTTTTACTGCGCATTTAAATAATTTAGTCCCTGCTTCAAACATGTTTCTAACAAAATACAGATCTTCTGTGTAGGAGAACTTAATAATCAATGATATATATTAAAAGTTATCCCAATTAATATTGCTTCAGATCTATATTCTTGTATAAAGTAAATTCTTTTTACTGAAACAATGCAGAGCTGAATTTACAGTTAGCCAACAGCAGCAGGTCAATATGAGGTTTCATGAATTTCTGTGGTTTAAGACTCTTGACGGTTCACAGCTCATTGTTTATTTTTTAATTTATTTATGTGTATTCAATCCATCCATCTTCAAACCTCTTTACCCAATTCTGGGTTGAAAGGGAGCTGGAAACTGTTCCAGTAAGCAATGGGCCCAAGGCAGGATACACGAAGAGAACATACAAACTCCATACAGACAGCACCCTAGGAACTGAACCCAGGGCCCCAGCATTGCCAGTGGGCCACTGTGTTGTCCAGTTATTCAACCCATCTAATCCAGCCACTGACCTAAAGAAGCCAGGGAATAAGGAATCCCTGGTCTCTTGGAGTCTGGACCAAGCTACCCAGCAATGTTGTTTAAGCCTATATCCCTGGGATCCATTCCATGGACTGTTTCATTAGGTGTCTGTGAAATTCCTTAAATGAAAGAGTACAACTAGGCAGCTCAACGTTAAGCCAACGTTCCCTCAGCTTGCTGTGCTATAGAAATTGTGATCAGCTGTGAGCTGCCTGTAATGTGAGTTGGAATGACCTCCTCTCTAACGCCCTGTGGAACTCACTGCATGACAAATGACAGCTGGTTCGGACCTCTCGGAAGAGTGTGTGAACAGGTGCTCATTCTCCCCATGTAGTACAGGTGTTGTAGCAGCAGGTCAGCTTAATTACCCAATTCAAATTGGATGTGTGCAGAGACACAGACAAGAACTGGCAACTTAAAATATTAATGTAAATATACAGAGTATATACACAGAAGTGTATATATATATATGAATATGTAAGCAGAAAGCATTACTAAAGGTCTAATAGGATTAATAGAACAAAAAGGAAAATGTATTATGTACAATAGGAGACAATGGACTTCTTGATTTTACATATATTGTTTTGTTAATGTTCCATTAAACCTTTGTACACATGGCCGTTAGTCATGGTGATTTCTTGTAACAGCACACTCTCATACAGAATTGAAAAACAAATCTTACAATATTGCCCTTCATTTTTAGTTCCCAGATATGTGGTGTTAACAGTCACTTTTCCTACATAAAACTGTCTATATGAGAGAAATTATGTTAAACGGCTATCCCCCTCCCAGTATTGTAGGGGGAAAACTTCAACCTTTGATTATTTAAGGCTTAAACAATTTTAAATCCAAATTAAACTGTAAATTGTATTTCATAAATCATAAATCTTTTAAATCATTAAAAATCACTAACAAAACTTCACAACATTTGATTTGAAATCTGACCTGATCCAAAACAGTACAGAAAGATGTGCACTCCAACCACCAAAACTATTTTGATTTACGTGTAATAAAACATAGGAAAGCCTAGTTAAATCTCTTGTTGAACAATACCTCCTGGTCAGAAAATGTCACTTGAAATCCTTAAACAAAATCTAACATTTAAGATCATGTTGCCATCTTCCAAGGGAAATTTTTGGCATGTTTGCTCACACCACCCTGTTTCAGTCTTGGGAATAAGAAGCATGTGCTTTCTACTGTGCATAGTAACTAGAGAGTCCTCTCCACAAACAGATGGTTAATTTGCTTTTATTGTTCTGTCAGACTAATCCCTCCAGTGTGGCTTGTGAACAAACCGCTTCAATACCTTTTCCGTTTCTTCACTTACCACTGCTGTTCAGTTTTGCAGATATGTATTTATTTAGCAAGGGAACACAGAGGCTCCACATCACCTAATTGCTTTATAATTGGACACTAACGACTGTGCCTTTCAATATATAAGTTAAGATAACAGTGCTGACATTCACAATCCAGTCGCTCCCACTTCAATATTTATGAGGGCAGACAAACCCCACACCCTTGAGTATTACGCAAAGCCTCAAATTGTATTATAATGTGAAGGCCGTGAACTGCAAAGCCAAAGAATAGGAGAGATAAGACACACTCCAGGGTAGCCTTATCGGAGCCTTATTTGGAAATAATTATTCAAGCACTGCACGGTTTCAATTAAAAGCCCGTTTCCTATATTTGGTCATCCTGTGTCCCGTACATGCGTTTGTAAGTATTTTATTGAGGAGAACGAGAGGCTAACCGTGTTCATTCCAGCTCAAAGCTGCTGTCTGACTCACCTTAAAACCCAGAAGCGGAGGTCTGGAGCAGCTTGTGACAAACCTGAGCAGCTTGCGTTTTTCTTCGTCAGTGAAACTTTCAACAACCTCCCAGAAGATCTTGATGACAGGATGAGTTGCCGAGTAGCCACCTGAAATGAGATTACGATGAATGAAATAGAGGTATTTCAGAAGTATTTCTGGACTGGTAGATTTGTCACTTAAAAATGTGCTGGTTACTGCGAAAAGCACATTATATGCAATATTATGAAGTTCCAAATTAGACAATCTGGAAATATTAATACATATTTAGAAATGGGAAACATTTCTGCTTGCTGCCATTTTTCATTACACATCATGAATTTAACATTTAATGTGTCACAGGTGACGTATGTCCTGAATGTAAATATATTCTGCTTTCATTGCTCTTATTCAAAACAGAGCACGTGAATTATATGGAGGATCCAGTGAATTAATTAAACTGAAGTCAACAACAGAAAGAGATTTAACAATCTTTTTCTATGCCACTTGGAAACAGTTTTATGTTTAACACTGCCTGCACAGTTAACCCAGAAATTAACTGAAATTTATCTTTCTTCAGGATGGAACGCAAATATCAAAATGAAATATTTGTCTTTCTGAAATATAATGGGGTTCATATCAATTCGGGACATTGCTTATGAGAGTGTACAATTATCTACTGCAGTTTTCTTTTTTCCCATATTTGATACATGTACACTAGTGCAAATGTAATGTATACAGAATAAATTGAAAACATGGATGAATTCTACTGACCTGAACTAAAATGGCTGGTTTGATAAATAACCACTAGATGGAAGTAAAACCCTAACTCAGACCTTAATCGTAGGTCTTAAAAGCAAAATCGCATTGCACTCCCCAATTTCACTGGCAATCAAAGTGCCATCCTTTTAGTACCAAGGCTGAGTCATTTGAGGAAAGATTTGCTTCTCTTTAAAAGCAATCCTCTTTTGCTTCCTCTGTAGTTGCTGCCAAGAGTGGTATATCATTTACTACAATATGTGAAGGAACTTGGCATTCACAATAACATTTTAGGGGAGGAAAAAAGATTTGATATTCAAAATAAGGTTGACTGATCACATTCTACATATTAGCACGGAGATCCAAAAACCTACAATAAAACTTAAGAAGAAAACCAGACTTCTAGGGCTAGTGCATTTTATTTACCTGAATAGTTTGTAAACTTCTTTAGGTCTTCAAGGCTAATGGGAATGTGTGCACCAGAAATCAGAACCTGACGGGAGAAAAGACCATATAACTTTGCTTAAATTCTAACACACACCAAGGGATTTTTATCTTTCTTTATTTCTTCTATAACCCAGAACAGAAAATGGTATTGTTATCCACCCATTGACTATTAGTAAGTAGCTTATTCCTGAGAAGGAGTGCAAAGAACTAAGAATCCCAGGGATGGGACACCAGTCCATCGTGGGGCACACAGACAGGAGCGCAGGGTCAATTTCGAGACACCAGTTAAGACAGCCAAAGGCAGAAAGGCAGTCTTTGGAAGGCAGAAAAAAACTAGAGCACTTCCCATGAAAACAAGTGGAGAATATGTAAACTCTACACAGTAGGTGCCCCAGGCCAAACACAAACCCTGGACCTTAGAGTTGTGAGGCAGCAATGCAACCTGCCACTGTGCTGTGATAATTACAAGAAAATATCTGTTTGTAGAAACCAACAAGCTTAAAATGGTGCATTAACATACAATTACAATGAAAAGTGACATGCAGTATTAGGAAACACACATACTCTCTTCAGCTATATAACCTTCCTAGCAAAATGAGGACATACTGGGATATAAAAATTGATGTATGCTGTCAAAATTCCAGTATGGAATACGCTTACACCCGAAACGTTGTGTTTGTTTTCTTCTCTTTGCAGCATGGAATAAACCCTTTACTTGTTCCTTTGCAGCCTACGCATGCTGACGCAGCTGCCTACTTCCAATTCCAGCATGCATAGCTTTTTAAAACATGCAACACGTCAACTGTGCAAATAGCAACACAAACTACAATTTTAATAAAAAAGAGGAATGAACAGTTAAGGTACCTGGTTGATGTGATGTAACTAATTGCAAATAAATAAGCCCACTTACAACTAATTCCAATAAATTATACAGCTGACGATACCTGCAGTTCTTGTTGATCAAACATGCGAAGCCACTCCAGGTTAACCACATTGGCCAAGCCCTGCCGGAAAGCCAGGCAATGAGGTCTTATCTGTTTGTTCAGCCTGTAGTCTGCCACCAGATGGATGTAGGCTATCCTGTTGGCTGTAGTGACAGGGATATCCTTGCCGCCCAGCTTCAGTTCAACCACCTGTCAAGGACAGATATGCTGCAGTTACCTTTCTCAGAACCTGGCTGAACAGTTTTCCAATTACACAGTTCTGAGATGTCTTCGCAATATAGATAAAACTGTCTTGTCAAGCACTGGTTTACATCAGTGTAACTGCGACTGCTGCACCTACTGGTAAAGACAAACCAGTTTTGACATTACTTTTATGATACTTACGTGACTAACCTTCCATGTACCAGCAATTCGAGCACAGCTGGACATCACAAAGTTGCCTCAGGTTTTACTTTTAAAGAATGCAGAACTGGCTTGAGAATTAAGAAAGACATTCTTGATTATACTGTCCATCACTCACTGGTTTCAAATTCTTTTTACACACTGCTGTTCACTACACATAACCTATTTCCTTAAACTACCCCTCATGTCACAACTGATTAGGAATTACCAAGCTGTCTGGTGAGGATTTAGTTAATCCATTGGGTCAGATAAATCTGCAATAAAAAAGGTTTTTTTTTATTGTTCTGCATTTTCTCACTGTTTTCACAGTTAAGGAGACAGTGATTCTTTGCCTCATTTTTTGCAGTTGTGAGTTTTGTTTCATACTATCCCTGTTCTGATATATTTCCCTCAGATTGTTCCATTTATTACGTGGGGTTTGGACTATTTGTCTGAAAACAAATCCTTTACAACTTCAGAATTTAAGAAATCGCCCTATTCCATGGTGCACCTTAAAGAGAAGGAATTGTACTTCTCAGTATATACAGTGATACACGCTGCCACATTGCTACAGCTGTTAAAAGTGCCACACCTGTTTGCAGCACCAAGAGATCCCTTAGGTATGTAGGCTCCTGCTTACTGCAGATGCTTTGATCACGTTGGGGATGGTAGGAATGTATTTCTCTAACTTCCAAGTCATATCGAACAGGAAATACTCTTAAGGAGACAAGCTGGGATTTATGACCCCTCCTTGTGAAAACAGGTGAAAATTTGACAATGTTTCACTACTAGATTAACATGTCAGGATGTGAACTGTGATAAGAAAAATAAGAGATGCACAAACTGTTGGAGCAAAGGTGAAAGCATCATGCAAAATCTGCTTAAATCACTACTACTTTCTAAGATATTTTGTTCTAATGTAAAGTTTGTCCAGTTATAACTGCATATCCAAAAAAGTACACTAAATTCCACCGTTTAAACATTTCCTTTCCATAGTTCATTTAAGTTCAAATAAATATGATCTTGTACAGTATGTTCGTGCATTACTGGATGCACTGTGAAATAAAGAGCATTTCATCAATAAAGTTAGTGTGAGTATAAACATTAAAATATTTTGAGAGGGAGGTGGAAAACAAATACTAACCAAAGCAATAAATTTCCGCCGGGTTTCTTTAAGAGTGTACTACGCAGATGAAGTCAATTTACACAATATTTGTGCCTTACAAACATCGTTTAAGTAAATGTTATTGCCATTTAGCTGAATTCTTCAAGTATTGTGCTAATGTGCATCGCCATCATTCTCTACAATTTACTTTAAATCAATATGATCCAACACAAATTAATGACTCTGTCTGTATTTATTAAAGCAAACTGATTCATTGCTGTTCTGAATTAGTGTATCTCAGGGAAATCTCAAAAATAGATGGACAAGGACAGCAATATGCTAAAGGTAGGCCTGCTGTATTATTTTATCTTAAGAACCAGGGCTACAAATCACAAACCCATTTAAGGGTACCAAACAGAGGTTTATAAATATGTATGAACAATATGTTAGACACTTAAGCAGGTTAAGATTTATTTATCACTACATGAAATGATCCGTACTTTTGCCTGTAGTTGCCCAACTAGATATATAAAGCACACAGCATCATACCAAAGTACATATCGCAGCAGTGCTGTACTTGACAGCAGAAGTAATTTTGTCTCGTCAAGAGAGTGAAGCCTTATGCCAACAGGTAGTTAGCTTAATAACATACATACTTTGGACAAGTTTAGCTTTCTTTTCTTCTTGCTTTTCACAAAGGCAATTGGTTCAGTGGGTTACTATTGGCAGTAGTTCTAGTAAATCTGACTGTCTTCACATTCCTCACATTCAGATTATTTTTCACAGGACTGTCAAATCTGTTTTAGCAAAGTCTGGGTTTGAAAAAGTCACATATTGCACAATAAAATTCCCCGGTCTCAAATCTCCAAGAGGGTGCATCAACTTCCAAAAATCTTTCTTCTTGGAAAAAATCTGTTTCTCCTTGGTTTTGAAAGCCTTGTTATTAAAACGGATTGTTTCAGAGACAAAGAATTGGTTGGAAAATCCGATGACTGTTGTGCTCACCCAAGCTCTATACATCCACTGCGTTTTAAAATACAAACGAAAGGGCTTTGGGTATTCGAATATGTGTACACGTTTATCTCTCATGATGACAACAGAAATACTGGTACATGAACCAGTACGGGCTAATTCAAATGCCGAAAAGAAAAATGAAAAAAAAAAAACTGCAGAAAGAAGATGTAGCTGTCTTGTCATCCTGACCAGCGATGGAAGCCGCTGAATCAATCCGAGTGGGTTTTCCATCCTTGTTTCAGCACCTGTTCTTCATCTGGATTCAGGTTATCGGAACATGAGAACTGCTCAGGCAGAATGACTAAGATACTTACTTGTCCATTTCAAAGCACATGCCGGACATCTAATGGCTCAGTTTCTCATGCTTCAGAAACCTTGGAGCTGTTCCTTACAAGGACAATTGGTTAATTGATAAATTGGCACAGGCATTGTAGCTAAGTTTAAAAGAGTAACTTGACTGTTTAATTATCTTTTAGTATATAAAGCTGTAAGACAGAGATATATTAAGATGTGTTGGAGAGCTCACATAACTTTATCAATTAAAAGAGACACATTTAGTCAAGAGAGAATCATGGTGTTAAGGCTATAGCATAATGCCAATGTGACAAAAGGGCAAACTCTGTAGAAGAGAGGCAGAGTGCTTCAGAAAGTGCCCTTCACAGTGATGTCCACAGACAGGGAGGCCCAGCATGGAGTAGCCTTTCATTTTCATGACTTTTTTGGTGAACATTTCCGACAGTTGACGTCATTGTGGACTTTACCATGGTAAACTCCAGTTTTTTTTCTTCGGACCTCGCAAAAAAAAAAATCAATGTTACTGTGAACACACATCTTTCCACTGCTTGGTCAGGAAGGATACGGGAACAGCAGGTGAGGTGGAATCACCTCAATTCACCTGCTAATACCCAGTAATCCGTGCTTTAATTTTAAAGCTGATTGTCTAAATTCCCTTTTAAAATTAATGCAGAACTGTGCAACCATGTCTATGTGTGTGATCGATATCAATGACTGTCTGGAAATACTGGGCTAGATTTAGGACATTGAAAATATTCTGAAGAAATACAGGTTTACACTTTGTTAATCCATCCAGATTCTAATTTGATAAGATCACAATACAAGTGCAGGACAAAAGATTTGTGCAGCCATTGTATAATTGAGCCATTATCTCTATTCATCACGCAAGTATTTCAGCAGTGTAACATACCAATATTTGCTTTCTATTAGGTACAAAAACAAAACAATAGTGGCAATCAGAACAATGTGTGTGGCTACAAGCTGTGGCTTTGCTTACATCACTCAATGAAATAAAGGTAAAATGTCATGCTGTACACAAGAGTGGAAGTGTTATTTATAATAACACAGCAGCATTTCTGGCTAAAACTGAATCTCCAAGATTTCTCAAAGGAGAATAATTCAGCAACTGAGATTCTGCAAAGGCTCAGGGGAAAGATGTACACCAACAATTGTGCATCTTTCCCCTGTGCATCTTTCCCAATTATTATAATAAAGGGATAATAAATCAGTTAATAAATCATTTTGGCCCATAACAATGGCTGTGCTTTTCAGGAAACATTGAAAACGGCAAAAAACAAAAATATGCTTCTAAACTGTAAACTTAAAATCAATAGACAAAAATATTTACATGACACTTTACGGCTTCACTGAGTTCTTCTCTAAGTTTACAGTTAAAAGTTAACGGAAAGGTTTTAGAAATGTGGGCCATTACAGGGAATGTATATACTACATGTGAATGGCAATACTATAGCTGTTAAAGGCAGAAAGGATTTGCTATTGTATGTCCCTGTACATCGGAGGCCATGAACAGGAGGTCTATCAGCAGCGCAGAAGCCGTCACTAAAATGACAGATGCAGGTGGCATGGGTTTTTAATTTTAGAATCCACTTTCAATTGTTCAATGATAAAGTAAGAGGCCACAGAAACATAACTGCTACTCGATATGGAGTGCATACTGTGTTTCTCCATTAGCAAATTTATTGAGTGACTGGAGGGGGAGCATTATGGTGTTTTTTTGCATTAACAATGGAGAATTCTTTTTAACCGAGCTGCACTGCTCTAGCACTAGCGATCTTGTTGATTAGGCTCTTTTGACTGGAGGATGTCGACAGCGTCCCACTCAGCAATATTCCAAGGAGGCAGCTTATTCATCTTTCAGTGGCCTGCAAAGCAGGAATCCTCTCTTCTGCCATCATACTGGCATGGCTCTCCTGATGAACCACGGCCGAGCATTTCAAATGGGCTAGACACTCTGCTCATTGACTGGATGAGAAGCACACAGTTCTTATCAGAGAATTAGGGACCAGATTCTCTAATAGGGCTTTACGGGTGTTGACATTCTTTATCAAAATTTTATGCCAGGTTCTTAGCGCTCTCTTCCAGCCTCTCAGAATAGCAAATATGGAAAATCCTTATATTATTTATATTAATAATTAATAATAATAATAGATTAATGACTACTGCAGTAGACAATATCATATCAAGCGAGTAGCGAAAAAAGGTGACACAGATCTTGACGAGACAACTCATGAAAAGGATTTATGTGCTCCTTTTACCTCATCATTACCTTCCTCAGTCTAGACAATATAGGAAAGCCCATGGTAAAATACTAAGATATATAATGAAAATTACAGCGTTTTCATCAACACATTTGGACACAAATAGAAATTAAGAGGTAGGGCTTTAAGGATTAAAAATAGGAACCATGGTTTTGTGCAAAAATGGAGGCTTTTCAGAGCAAACTGCAGAGTCATATCATTGGAGTCGATTCCTGCTAACAGCTGGCATTCTGGGTTTAATTAGATGGACACCCTGGACTCTCTTCTCTTTTCTAATGTTATATTTTAACATGCAAAAAATATCAGCACTGTTCCTTAATGTCTTCCTTTTCACATTTATTATAAGTACGGTAATGCTAACGATTGTTAGGCAAGGGGATTTGCTTATTTGGTGCTTGCCAAAGGGCAAACACAGGGCAGTTTGGTCTAGTGTGTGCCTAATCTTTAAAAAATAGTTTTCTGTCTTATATTTGCGTCTGCTTCCAAAGCAAACAAGTAAGAACTTGCATTGTAACGGCACTGTAAAGCATATTTAAAGAGTAGCTAATAACTCAGCGGGGCCTTGAGCAAACAAAGATTGCAGGCAATAAACCGTCAGAGCAATGTGGAAGAAGCACGATTCCAACCTCAAATAACCAGCTTGCTGTCTAAACAGTGAGGCGCTAGGAGGAGGGGAAAAAAAGCCTGGTGATACAATTGAGAAACACTTTACTATCAGTCCTGTTTTTAGATAATTACTGCTCTAGTTGTTATTCGCACCTAATATTTTTGGAATGGTCAACAAAGCCTTTCTTTGCCTTAAGAGTTGCTCAAAGATCACAGCCACAGACCGTGCTTTATCTCCCTTATCTCTGAATACAGACACATGATTGGAATTAATTATTAACGGTTCAGGGTTAGGAAGCAGCGGCAAAAAAATAAGGTGGGGGGGGGGGGACCGGTGCCCACCTGTGCCTCCCCGAGGTCGTTATTCACCACCGTGAAGTTCAGGCCAAGTTCCTCCACATCCCCCTCGTAGCTCTTCAGGAAGAGCAGGTTTCTGTACATCTCAGGATCCAGGGAGGCCAGGTGGTGAATGTCCACATCGGCGCTGGTGCCCAGCAGCTTAGAGAGGAAGAAACTGGCAAACGGGAGCTCCACCAGCATGTTTTCGTAAAGTGCCTACGGCGAAAGAAGGAAAAGGGAGAGGAGTCGAAGTGCGCTGATGGGAAAGGTGGCTCGCCGTGAATCGCCGAGGCCTGCCATGAAACCCGCCGAAACAGTCCCTCGCTCAACACGCTGTGGCAGCTTGATGACCATTAAGTCATCTGTTCACTCAGGCTACAGAGACGGTTTCCTATTTCAGATTAAGAAGTAACTGAATGTTTTATGGCAAGGGGTAAGAGTACCTCAAGCACGATTTGCAAAGGATGCAGTATTTCTGTCTCAGAGAGGTAAATAACGTCCTAAGGGAGGCACACCAATTATACTGATAATTTCAGTCACGAATAACAAGATATTGTTCATATTATTATTTAGGTTAATTTAGACCTCAAGAACTTAGTTAAGTGTTGATCTAATTTTCCTAATTATTCCCAACTTTTCTCTTGTCAATACAATCCAATGTGGAACTTACTTTAGACTGTATTTAATGTGGTTTATTTTCATTTAAAAGTAGTGAATATGCACTAATGTTATTTTTTTTAAACTAAAACTCTTGTCATAATAAATGTGCCCTATAAATATACTGCATAGATGAATACAGATGAATCAATGTATTTTTAAATCCTGAAGCTGATAAGCTGAACTGGTGCATCTAGGCCCAAACCAAAACCGATATTCAGTTTGCAATAGTAGGTTTTGTTAAATTCAATCTAATACACATAGATGATAATCTACTTTAAATCTACGAGGTTTGACATTATATAGAATGGAATTTATGGAATATCTAACCTTGACCTTAAATACTATCAAGTACAAGAGCTGAGGAGGTGAGTCATAAAATGTAAAGCTAATGTACTGGAATAGTCCTAAAAAGAGCACGTTTAAACCTTTAGAGCATTAAAATATACAGGTCTTTATAAATGATTGCACTAAAAACCTTGACCACATCAGCTAAATGGATTATAAATTTAAAAGATTTCCATAATGTATGCATCTTAAATACACACACAGGCATAAATCAAGGTATTTTCTAAACACAGGTTAATTATGCAACTTCAAACACAGTCTATTTTTTATGCAAAATAATCCACTTAGCATTTTTCACAGTAGACCTAATTTCTGGCTATATGCAGTGTTTGCCCCTCGAAACCTATCAATAACACTGCGCCATAACGACACAGCAATAAGTATATTGAAAAACCTGGAGCATATTTTTTCAAGCATCTATTATTTATGGGTGTTTATTGCCAGAAATTGTGCCAAAATGACTTGAAATAAAAAGGATTAATTATGGTGTGAGCCTTTTAATATAAGTGAGTGCCGTGGCAGGGCAATTAATGCAAATCGTGGCACTATCAGGAGAATAAATGCTCACATCACCATAGGCGGCTTCTGTTAGCTGCCAAATAAATTTGTTAATTTACAACATTAAGAATCAATAAAAAACATAATGCTTTTCAAACGCATTACTATCAATCAGCATTGATATTCTCCCTCCAAAAATGAACTTTATCCAGTTGATTTCCACTTGATAAAACCACTGCAGCAGAGGAACAGAACTGGAGCCTTACAGCTGCTGTAGCGCAGTGACCCCGAAGAGCAGTCAAGGAAGTGTTAACTTCCTTCTTCCTAAATTGCCTGAAGTAACTATGGCTCTTCCTGTTATCGTAATTCTTCATGGGGTTAAGCCCACGCTAACTTCTCCATCCTCAGTGGACTGCAGTAGCTACGAATTACTTACTGTAACACTATCTTAATTTTGCTTGGAGGGGCAGAGCACACATAAAATAATGATCTGTAGGAACACACTGTATTCTGTTTGTCTGGCGAAGGGCAAAGTGGTTTCAGACTGCGAGGTTCCTGAGGTGCTCTTGGGCCTCTATTAATTTTACTTTGTGCACAAGGGGAAGGCTGGGGTACATCTGGCTTTGCAATAAATGGAGCAGCATACGTGAAACAATATTTATTTGGAATCAATAAAAGCACCATGTGTGATACTTGGATCAAAATTAATATTGCTCCGCATTTGCTCTCTACTGCACGAATGTGTCATTTACTGAAGCACTCCGTTAACGGCTAAACAGTTAATTGAATCGGACCACCGGCAGTTTGGGCAATGAGTCCAGGGAGGGAAATTAGAACAGCTCTTAGCTAATTGAATTTAAACACAAAGAGTGGGCAGTTTCCTCCAGAGCTACAACCATGTTCACAAAACCGTTTCTTTTAAAGATGTCATCCAAGGCTTTGACATCCTGTGGCTCTGGGATGTGGTTTCCAAGAATGCATTTAAAAACGCTCGACTGGGCTGCAAGGAGTCACCCTGTTGGAGCTCAGCCACATGTGTGGACTTTTGAGACACAATCCAGTCAGCCCTGGTTAAGATCTGAGGCTAGCACTTCCCAAGGACTGACGCACAACTGGTCAAGGACAGCCAGGTCATGAGGGTTTAAATCAGGAGGGGTGTCCTTAGTTTATTCCAAAAACCAATCCTATGGGCATTTTAACTGGGAATGTTCCCTCCCTCGCCCTCTCACTGAGAATATGGGCTTGTACTATGAATGGAAGATTAAACCAAAGATGTGGCTTAGTTTTGGAAGTGGTGCACCACTAGGACACCTGTAATGGTGATTTACATTAAAGGATATAGGCTATTAAAAAACATGACATTCCGAATTCTGGAATACTATTACTAGTTATAAGTAATACTATTACTATTATAAGTACAAAGTCGGTACAGATTTCAGGACTTGCTCTAAACTGTTGTTGCAGACAACTGGTCTTGCTCTTGGTCAAGACTTGTTTCTCCAGTTATATACTATGCATGTATACAGGGGTATCAGCATTGATGGGAGTAACCCTGCACACATTGTCACATCCAAACAGGAGAGCTGCATGATTAATGTCATAGCGTAATGGAAGTTTGTTGTAGGCATTACAGTAGCCACAAACAGTAGCCAATGCCTTATTAAATTGTGCTACAGAAGGACGTTTTTCTCACACTGCTCTACCTATGTGTTTCACTGAAACAAGCCTTCCTTTCTAACAAAGTCCTGTACGGGGGCACCATAAAATAAAACTACAAATCACTGCTGTAACAACAGAGATATTTATTCATCACCTAAGGAAATTACCTCCTTTAATCACAGCTGTTGTGATGGAACGTGCTTGTGAGCTCACGCCAAATAATACCATTTTACATCAAGTCCCTTTTCAATCTCCCTGTACTACAGTACCAAACAAACATCAATGCGGCGCTGTAATGCCTACTTTGTTAGTATTTATGAGTAGGAAAACGTAAAAAGTAAGGTTAATCGAAAGTCAAATCCAAGTTAATTTCTCACCTTAATTGCCTCACCCATTAGCGATGAAGCTGGACAGTCGCTGACTAGCCATTTTTCAACACAGGATGCAAGCAAGAAAATTACGGTACTCTAATAAGTATGCCGAATTGTCTGAGATAGACTTAGGTGCTTCTGACTGTAAAACAGATCAAAATGCTATTACTACGAGCTTTGACTGCTTATTTATGTCCTGTCCAGCCTGCTGATTTAGCGCCAGTAAAATGCAATCACTACACAAACAAGAAGCAGGAATCATCTGCTAATGGAACGCCTAATTGAGAAGTGACCAGTGTCATGAAGTAATTCTTTCCATGTGGGATGACCTCTCTGCACTGCATCACAATAAACAATCACTAGCACATGCATTAAAGAAAATTTAAAAACATTAGGACCTAATAAATAGCAGCATTGTGTAGAAGGCAAACAATACCCATCAAGTGATTGCACCTGAAAAAAAAAAACTATAGCCTTCCCTGCTGTGTCACTTTACTCTGAATTTCATACAGGGGAACTCAGCTGTGCCGTCGACTCCTGCAAATCAATATAACCGCTTATGCACACACAAAAGCTTACGGCATTTCTTTTTAATGTGCTCATAAAAAAAAATTAATTAGGGCTAAATTCTGAAACACGGTTTCCCATCCACTGTGTGAGGATGCAAAGGCAGAAGATGGAAAAACAGAAACAGAAATCAGTTTTCCATGTGAAGCAGGACAAATACGATCCAAGATATACCAATTCAACTATATTACACAGGTACATGACTTGATTTTATTTTGGGATGTTTGGGACGATTTCTAGTATTCAAAAATCAAAACAGAAGAAGGACTCTTTTTATTCCCGGTCTAAGGTAGACAAAAGAGATTTTCGATGCTGATGGGAGGCTTCACCAACTATTTTCTTCACAGGCGTGATCTGGATCAACTGGATCAAACTGCATGGAAGCTTCTGGCCATGTTAGTCATGGCTGCCTGTCAGTCATTTTCAGTGTAACAACCTGAACAGGAAAACCTCCCACGCTAAAGCCCATGACATTGTTCTACCAACAGGGGGCAGCAGAGTACACTTGCTGACTTGGCTAACATCCATCCATCCATTTTCAAACCACTTTATCCAATGCAGTGCTATTGGAAAGTCGGAGCCTATCCTGGCAAGCAAAAGGCACCAGGTAGGATACACCCTGGATGGCATGCCAGTCCACAGCAGACCTGGCTAACACATAATACAAAATACCAACTTTGAAAAATAGAACAGCATGTATAAAGACGTTCAGTGCTATTCTGAATTATGAACATGCCCAATGTCCTGTCGCCAGCATCTGTGAAGAACATTTTGACGAGATTCACTTTCCACCCCAGTGACAGTAGATACTGGATAAGGGAAAACAAAAGTATCAGAACAAGAGAGCGGGAAAGAGGTTTAATACCGATTTCCTGCTCACTCTGTTGTGTGAAACCCAGATAAACACATAGGACTAGCTGATACATCATGATGTGCCTTATCTCCAAGCTCACTGAATCCAATTCTAATTTAAAAGCATTTAGTATAGCAGGCAACCAAATACTGATTAGAAAATTATGATTATTTTATTCCTTATATAAACACTCATAGTGCAAAGCATATAAATGAATACTGTATAACAACCTGGGGGAAACATGGAAAGTTTTGCAGATCACTGTTTTCTGATACACTGTGTAAATTAGAGTCGGAAAACATAGCTAAGAATAGTCTCTTTATCTACTGTTGACCAAACCCGATGTGGTGAAACAGACCTACTGCGTTGCCTGGTTACACACTGCCTATCCTGACACTGTATTGCTCGTCATTAAAACCTTTAGACTTCCGCCCTACAGACCACATCGAATATTAGCTATTCCAGTAATTAATAGAGTTGTTTTAACACAGAGACATACAGTAACAGGGATGCTGCACTAATTTTAGCCACAAAAGTTTGGGATGTCACCTTCATCAATCTCCTGCAGAAACTAGTAACAGCCTTCACACCGTACACAACCACACAACCACAGAATTCAATTTCCTTTCATTCTTTAAACTGTTGGGCAGATTAGATATATATGATATCTTTTATATATATATGATAAAATATTAGGAGTCTTACATTATGTAAAAACATTAGAAATATGTAGCCAAAAATATTATAGTGAACACAAATGTAAAAATAGAACACATAATAAGAAATAAATATACCCCAAAATATAACAAACAATATCCTTAAATATTTACCTGAACAGTTCAATGATGCTTGCAAATTGATATTAACATTATTTTGTAGCAGTTTCAAATACTGAAACTAGAATAGACTGTTTTCAGATGATTTGTAACACAATTCATGTCCAAAATGTTCACGCATACTACACATCCATCGGTGCACAAAGTAGGGCTACTGAGGACTACTGATAAAACTCACCTTGGAAAAACTGCAGTTGACTTTGGATGACATTGAATTCACCCTGCTTTACAGGTGCTTGGCAACTTAAAATCATTTGGGGCATCACCAATTTGTACAGAGACCACAGCTCTGTACTCCAGATCTGATTCATTAGTAGAAAAGATCAAACAGTGACTGCTTCTGTATGAACTGAACTAAAGGTTCAGGACAGGAATGTTTACATCTCTTCCGTTATCTGAACCGTGTACCACATCCCCATCTCATACAACAGCAGCATGAGACAATATCTGATGGAGACTTCAGTGTCCTGAAATGGTTTTACACTTCTTTGGATGACCGCATATGAGGATGCCATTTTCACCCCCGTCATGAAGCAATGAAAGATTAATATTCTCCTTGAAACAAAATCTATTGCATCCTGTACAAAATCGCTTAAAACTGTTTGTAGTCTCAAAACTTTTTGCTTAAGATTCTATGATCAATTCAAAACAATTCATTTCTGGAGCACACTCATTACTTACAAAACTAGCTTTTTTGCCTGAATCAGAATAGTCATTACCTTTCCTAATATTCTGCCAAGGAAGTAGTAATGTCTGGTGAAGGAGTCCCCGACTAGCATCTGTGCAGTAGGACTAGGGTAGAGAAGCCCCTCGTTGGTGGTCTTAAAGAAACCCTGGTTAGGATTGAATCCTGTCTTGAGGAGTTCGTTGAGAAACTCGCGGAAAATGCCACCGCCATCGATACCAGCTTCATCCAGACCGTGAGCATTCAGCAGGTGAACTCGGATTCTCTTCTTGAGGTCAGGTTCTAAGAGACAACACACACACACAAAACGTGCTTCTTAAAATTAAGACTTACACTTTTTGTCATGAATTAACAGTGTATCAAAGGTCATTAAATCATCACATAAAATACCCCCCAAAACAGAAATGTCTCACAGCATAACAGGAAAAAAAAAACAAAAATATTTTTGTAAAACAGACTTTTCCTGTGCAGTTATAACATTCGGGTACATTTAAGTCAACAAATACATATTTTATCAAAGGAAATCAAGAGATTCTGGATACTGAAAGCAACAGCCATGACAGTAAAGAATGTTACTGATTAGCCTCCATCTTATCTTGAATTTGCAGGAGATGTAAAATATGTAACTTTCAAGATATGAGTTGTCTAAGCAGCATGTCCTACTATTTTGTGTTAGAATAAACTATAAAGAGCAATAACAACAATAAATTCTTGCTGTCTTATTATTAAAACCTGATCCTAAGTCTTGGGATATTCAAATCTAGATGTATAAAAAGATCACTAGATGTTCCCCCATGATTAATCAATGGGCATAAAGCTAATTTATGGTCTTCAGACGCAAGCAGGAAAAAATCTATTTTTAGAGCAATTTGCAGACAATCCCTTGATATCATGGAGCTACTGTTTATTGTGTGGTAATAGAGGACTGTTGTGTAATTTTCAACCTGAATTCATTCATTTGACAAGAAAGACCTTTAAAATATTTATTGGTGCCTTCCTACCAGAGAAACTGGCTTACAAATATTGATTCAGCCTTTTATAAAGCTTTATAAAGTTTAATGTTATTATGATTAAATTACTACTCCAGTTGATCAATAAAAAGGTGGTCAAAATATTGCAGTCTTTAGATTTAACTTTGTTTACAAAATAAGCATTTATGTTGACTACAATACAAAATTAATCTTAATATCCTGTTTACACTGCAAAATCTAAACCTTGATAAATGGTCAATTAAAGGGTACCTGCTTTGCAAAAACTAGGTAACAAGCAACTACATCTCAATCCTCTAGATGAGCATAAGTATCTATATTTTAAATAGAATATTAGCTTTCATATATTAAGACTTAGAATAGAAAATTATTTTTTCCTTTCATAGTTGTATTCTGTAACTTTTCGACTTAATATAAAAATATATTTCTACCTATAGAACAAGTAATAGGTTTATTCCATGCTGAAAAAAAGAAGAAAGAAAACACAACGTTTCGGCTGTGGAGCCTTCTTCGGGTGTCAATTATAAATAGGTATTTTTATGTTATAATTGATGCTCAGTCACAAGAAACCACACAAGAAGTATTCATAAAATATCAGTATTCTTGCATTTACCATTCTCTGGAGATAGTTTGTCATATGCATCCTCATAAATGTAGTTCCGTCGAATAGTGATGTTAATGCCATCTGAAAACGGCCCGTCTCCTTGAACGTCGCGCTTGTCTGCATAGATCAACCGCTGGAAAATCTTAATAATAACAATGGATAAACCTATTATTTCTTGTATAAAATTGTATTATTTCTTTGTTTTGAGAAATACATTATTCAACCCCCCCTCACACGCATAACAGACCACATGGTGTTGACTACATGTACTTAAAAACAGGCCCTTCGCTCAACTCAGAGGAGTCAAAGACATCACTGCTGACCAAACTGACAAAGTATATTTTTAATATAAAAGCTCAAGAAAAGGTGTACAGATTAAGAAACACCTTGACACTTCTTCAGTTTTAAGAAACTCACTTATACTTATTTAATTTTGAAATTAAAGTGAAACGCGACAATAATTTAAGGCATACCTTCACCCGTTCTTCAAAGGGAACTACAAATGGAAGCTCAGTTAAGATGGCGAGTTGTCTCTCCTCCGACACTGACAACTGAGGTGGTTCCATTCCAACTAGATCAGAAAAGAAATGGAGCAAAGTGTGACCAGCTGTACCAGCAGGGATACATTAAGAGTCAATCTCATGGTAAGAGCTGACCAACCTATTTCATCGATATTTTGATCAAATTTCAAGTGTTTTCCTTTTTTAATGAAACGTGAGTGGAGTTCGGCTTTTACGAGCTGCGCAGCAAAGTCTATTTAATCGGCGCATTATGCGTTTCGGGCTTCTGTTTCTTTTGACATACTGTGAGGTGCATGAGGGCCCCCCATATCCGACTGTGCTGTGACAGGGCTGGCAGGAAGAAGTGTAGTCACAGTGCACTCTGCTGGGGACAACTGGAAGTGCAACAACATGACGCAATAGAAAATAAACGCATCAATTTTTTCATCTTGAATCTTTGTCAAAGAAAGTATCATGCAAGGGGGTCTGACTGGTTACTAGCAGCGTTAACTTTCACTGGTGCTGTAGTAGGGACCCGGGTTCCACATCAATAATCCTATTGCTCTGTTTTTCATAATCAACCTACAATATGACACCAAATGTTGCATTTTTAAGTAAAAGGGTCAATTTAAACCCCCCTGTTTTGAAAGGCATTTGATTTTTTATGACATTAAATAATTTCCAAATGATTTCAAAATAACTGCAATAAAAAGGATCACTGTAATTTGTAAAGGGGCAAGCATGAGTGAACTGCACCCTGAAAAGTCAAAGGAAAAAATACAACACAACTTGAGGAAAAAGTCAAGATAATTTTCATGTTGAAAAGCAGAAATTAACCTGCACTGGTTCCTCTGTAGCTCCCATGCTAACGCAGGTCTCGGCTCCATGACCATCATTAGTAGGTTGCTATGTAAGCCGTGTACAGTGATACCTTGACTGAAGACACCTGTCTGAGGGTTCTGCAGCTAATGAAGGTAACCTGAATCTTTTAATTAAGGGTATTTTCAATGCAAAACATACATACATTGGTTTTTCATAAAGCTAATTACCTCACCACTCTGGTAAAGGCCTGTAAATAACAGACACAATGAGAGCAGCTGGTCTGCACTGAGTCCCCATTAGGCCATGGTGACCAGATCAATACTCCTGTATGGGTATACTTAATCCAGATACTTGTTTACAGGCAGGCCATTAAAAAGTGTTCAATCCTTTCCTCCGTACGGCAGCAAGGGCGTCTTTCAGCAATGGACACTTTTAATTAACTAAACTGTTAGACGGTTATCTACTTGCGGGACAATTTTCATTAAGCGAGCGTTTGTTTTATATTAAACTAACGGTTTAAGCTATTTAAACCTCAAAAAAAACTGCCAGAACAGCAGAGTTAAACCACTATCCCCCTACTAGAGCTCAATTATTCTGGTCAATTAGTCAATTCTATCCGCATTTTTCCATCACGTTTCCATCTTTGAGGAGAAATATGGGCCGTCGTGGTCAATACACAGACCATTTATCACTCTAGTGGCTGTCCATTTAAGTAAATGAAAAAGGCCAAACAAACACAAAGCCATATGTGCTTCATCAGTACTTTCACACTAATTGACTTTATCCCATATGGAGTCAAGTGGCATTAAGCAAATCATACACACATTGTTATCTGCTTGTTTTCACACCATCTTGCTGGCTGTACTACTTTTAAACAAACAAGGTGCAGCTTCAAAAGGCTCGTCTGACTTCAAAGAAAGGAAGGGACAATGATGCATACAAATGAATGATGAAACTGCTCAAGAGTCAAACTGCTTCCACACAGTGCACAGAGCCAGCAGACATCCTTTGCATGAAGATTTTGGGGGTGTTTTCCCCATACTGTAGTTTGAAAATGTACTCATTCCCACGAAATACATGATGCACCTATATCCCATTGCTATTACTAATGCCTTGATTACTCCAAACACAAATTTTACGCTAGGACAGATTTCCAAGCCTCTGGATTCACCTTTGCTTTGTCCAGACTGCGTTGTACGTTGGAAACTGTACCAAGAGAGAACCATCATTGAATTTTTCATCTCTTTCACATCACATTCTAGGAGGACACAGCCCATCTAAATTTTCTTTTGGTGATATTTGAAATTATTCACACATAAACAGATAAAAAAAACATTGAAATAATGGTTTACTTCCTACACAATTAAACTTTTACAACACTCAATAGATATGGTAGGTTTTCCATCCAAATTTAACATTCATTTTCAGTGCTATGCCTTGAACTAAAGACAACCGTAGTATCTTGGTAAAAGCAACCAGAAACTACACAACTGAAAGCAATGCAAACACAACACAGGGAACTCAATCAAAAATTAAACTTCAAGATCGGTACATAAACATGTTTCAGACAAATACCTTTTTAATAGTAAAGAATACATGTTGCTGGGATCAGCCGTGAAATAAAGAAAAGAGCAGCATTTGCGTTAAGGCTAGCTGATGAGTAGTGAGCGTTCTGGCGCACTATGGCTGCCGTCGCATCATCCAGGTGGGGCTGCACATTGGTGGTGGTGGAGGGGAGTCCCCATTACCTGTAAAGCGCTTTGAGTGGAGTGTCCAGAAAAGCGCTATATAAGTGTAAGCAATTATTATTATAATTATTATTATTATTAAGGCGCTGAGCTGAGATGGAAGCTGTTCTTACCATCTAATGTGGACTGTAGAGGCCCGATTCGTCCCATTCTGCGGATTCTCCAAACATGCCTAGCTGATGGGACATAGAGCTGTGTGACCTAGTGGTCCAGGAAGAAAATGAGATCAATGTGAGAATGGTGTTCAACCAACACCATTTACGCAGGAATGAAGAAATCAAATTTAGGCTTTTCCTAACACTGACCAAACCAAAGCTGGAATGCATCGATATATCAGTTTTGGTCACGTAGCATTTACTCTATGGGCTCTCACTGATTCCTAAGTCATTCATTGTTACCTGCTGGGAAATTTATGGAATGATTTTCACACAATGGGGCTTACATTCACAACACTGTGTTAAAATCTCCTTAAGAAATAATGGGGGGTTTAAGTGTTTTGATGAGGCCTGACAGATTTAGGGTGCCGCAGAGAAGAGTTTGTACAAGGTGAGTAAACAGCCAGGGGGACTTTTGTAGTTTTTATGAATATTCTCAGATCAAATTGAACCCCCCACACCAATTTGACCTGTGTCACCTGGAAGCTGTTTTTCATTCCCTGAGAGCTTTGATCCCAGGGGATGAAAAGACACCATCAAGTACTGGTTTTGCTGAGTGAAGGTGTGCGATAATCTAAACCTAAATTATTTTTAATTTTCCAAAGTAGAAAGGAAACTGTTTAATAACATTTGTCACGAGTTCACAAAAAAAAAGACACACTAAACCCAGTAAACCAAATCCTTAATGAAGTGGTACCTTATCAGCTCTGATGTTGACCTCATTGGAAAGCCAGTGACCAGATGGACAGAAGGGTCTTCTTATATCTCGAGCTTTCACCATTTTCACTAGGTTAGTAATGACCTGTTGAAACAGAAAACAGCACGTTTTGCACAAGCAGCACAAAAATAATGTACAATTTCAGTCACCATTTTACCGAATAGGTATGGCTACAATGGAATCAGTCCAGAGAAAAGTTACACGATGCTCTGCAGGCTTAAAGGAATGTCCTACAATAAGAGGCTAAAAGAACCGCAGCTTTTCAGGCCTGAAAAGAGAACTTGTGTTCAACTGGATCTGAACATGCAAAATCCTCAAAGGCCTGACAAAGTGAACGCTATGGACTTCTTCAGATTCAACAGTGAACCAGAAACTACAGGACATGAGTAGAAATTTAAAATTGAGAAAAGGAAGGAGGCATTTCTTTGTGTAAAAGCTTGTCAGAGCGTGTAACAAGCTACCCATCCATGTTGTCAAGCGTGATACACTGGCTTCTTTCACGAAGCAGTTGAATAAGAGCCTCACATCAGTAAGCTAACTATCAAAAGGCCACCTCTTATTCGTAACTGTCCTTATGTTGTTAAATCTGATCACAGGGGAACCCTCAAAACCTCACCATTAACCTCACACAGCTAAGTGGTAAACAAGAGCAGCAGTCTTTTAAATATTCTTTTTCACAGGCGAGAAACTTCGCCACCAGCCTTTGATGATAGTCCATTAAAACATGAAATTGATCATTTTACATTTCTAACCTTGGCTAACCTAAAATGAGCAAAAATCAGACTTTAGTTGTACCTTTTTTTTACTTGTACTTGTGTTGCAGAATGGTTAGATACTTAATAACTCCAAAAATATAAACTCAGTAGTTTATATATCTTCTGAATTAGCCTATATATGCACACTTTAAAGACATGTTTTTCACAATTTAATATTCATTTAATTGATAAAACATTGTAATGTAATCTGAAATTACATTACAAGCTGAGATACTTTTTTCCTGGCTTTAATTATAAAAAAATCACCATGTAACATTCCTTGATAGAAATCTTGAAGAAAATGCAAAAAGTTCTCAGTTACTGTAAATGTCTCAATGAAGCATCACATCACAATGCTTACAGTTAAAAACATATAGACAATCCTATACATTTTACAACACTTTTTCTGTATTGGATACAAGGACCTTTGATTATAAGTAATTACAATGAGAATGAGCATCCCATTGTTGTGGTGTTATGTATTGGTAACACAAAACAAAAATGACTCAGTTGATCTGGAAATGTACAGCCCCATTAATTAGCTAAACCCCTTACATCAACGCTTTTGCTGATCTGCTGAAAGTATATTCTGTCCTGCTTTTAACCAGAAGGACGGATGTTCTGCAACAAGTTTCAGTCTGACGTCTTTCACTGTTTTTAGATGCACTTTTCTATTTGACTTCTGACTTTCCTCTTATGTGGATGAACAGAATCTGCAAGTGCAATTTACTGTACTGTACATATCTGTAGCTGCTATAGCATTTACCAGATTTCCTGTAATCTACAAATAGGCATCTTTCACAGTTCAATTGTTGAGATTATTATCACGTGTCTGACTAGAAACAATCACACATGAATGCATTGATGAATATGAATGATATTAATATTATAATGTATATTCATTAATATTATAAACATTATAAACTGAAACTGGCAATACCCACAAGTGCAAAAAACGCTGTAAAATTGAGGCGATTGGTTCGGACTTTCACTACCTCTGACTTGTCGAATGAATAAGCATTCCTTAATTAGCCCATCGGGTTAAGTGCAGGCCTTAATGGGCCTTTCCCAAACTCCAGTGTGACATCTCTCTCCAAACATGGCCAAGCACAAAGTTCCATTAGCAATATTAATATAAGCTTAGTTGATCATTTTCATTCAATTAACTTCTTTCAATTAAATAGATAGCTTGACAATAGAAGTGATAAAAGAGCCATAGGGGTGGCTGATGACTCGAACCAAACATTAGCGTGTTAGGGGGTCAGTAGTATTAAACGGACTGTAAATCTAGCATTCAATTTGTAAAATGCATTTTCCCTGCTCCCACTTCTTTAATGGGCTGTTTTAGCTGACAAGAGGTGTTTGCACCAATCGTTTATGAAATTTCAGTAGCATTTATATGCCCTCCCTGCAAACCTTTCCTTTCTGGCCTCGGAGTATTTTTGTTTTCTCGAGATCCCGGTTCAAAAAAAGGAACAACCAGGCACCCACCCCCTCATTATCTGAAAACCGTTTATTTGTGGTATGTTTCACAGCAATGCAGACTTGGTAGCAGAACCTTAGGGAGCACAGTGGGACTGTATTCCAGTCAGGATAGCAGTCTAACTCCATAATCACACACACACACATGCAAAAATATCTAGGGACTTAGTTAAAGGAAATTGGGGTGTTCTTGTTCAAAATTCATTAGAAATACAGAATCATACAAAAATATTGAATAGAGATTAGAGAAAAATAGAGCAATAAAGAATACAGAATAGAAATATAGTTGCACACAGAATAATCCATTCATCATTTTCTAACCACTTTATCCCATACAGGGTCATGGGGAAGCCAGAGCCTATCCCAGCATGCAAAAGACACAAGGCAGGATACAGACTGGATGGGACAGCAGTCCATCTCGGGATACACTAAGACACAAGCACAGACACACCCACACCAGAGCCAATTTTCCCTGAAGACTACTAACTTACCCAGTTAAGTTATAGTTAACTCGTCAGGAAAACGGGGCACTTGGAAAAAACCCATAAGAACACAGGAAGAACATACAAGCTCCACACAGACAGCATCCCAGCTTCATAATTGGACCCAGAGCACCGGGGCTGAGAAGCAGCAGTGGTAAATCCTGTGCCACGATGTCGTTCACATGGAGAATAATATTCTTTAAAATGATTAATCATTTATTTGACCTTAGGCAAATGTATTTTTCAATTTTTTCCTTCAACGCTGAACAACTTACCCTTGGTTTGGATTATATAGAAGAAATAAAACATTGAGTCGATCAAGTGAAATAATTTTAACTCTACCCTTAAGTATCAGACAAAAATAAACGGCTGAAATTGCCATATGGAGCTCTAAATCATGGGCAACGAAATCACACATTGGGGCTCTGAAAGGCTTCGCAGTGCCGAAGAATGCCACAGTCACCTTGAAAAGCTGAATCCACCGTTTTTGCTCGGCCTGAATTCGTTGCTGCATTTCTGTGTTGGTCTTGACTCCCACGCTCTTGAAGGCCGCAATGTACTCTTCGCGGTGCTCGGGCTTCGTCTCTGGATAAGCCAACTTGATGATCCCCAAACAGGCATCTCTCAGGCATCGGGACAATGTCACCAGCTCCACCAAGGTGAAGGGCATCATGGACGACTGGCTTTGCCCTACAGGTGGAAGAACAACTGTTCTGCACAGATACTACCACTGTTACCTGTACTACCTCAGTGTTCTTCATCGCTTGGATGCTAGTCCATTCAAAACCATGAAATATCACTTTAGTTTCAGATATGACTTGTCTCATTGAAGGTAAACTAAACACATCGGGTGTCTCAGCAGCCTAGTGAAGGCAAATTACAGAATATGATATCTCAGAAAAAATAACTTTTTTGCCTGTTTAAATGTGCATTCATTTCCAGCAGGTTATTAACGCATTTTGGTACTTCTCTCCCTTTTTCTACAAGCCTTCCATGGTATTTCATTGTATGTCATGGGAATTCACCTAATAGAAACATGTATGTAGACCAGAAAGAGCTACAGTATAGAGCCCCCTTTTGCATTGCAGTGCAGACACAGTGATAACTGCAAAACAAAAGGACTAAATGATCAGATTATAGTTTGAGGCAGGTCCAATGTACACAATCGTAATTAGAGACAAATGGTATATTTTTTCATCTTGACTATTCATCTTCTGTAGTAAGTCACACTGCTTTGTGTGGAAAGCACTTAAAGCAAAATGAAATCCTGACAAAGTGTAATTAGGAGATAATTCCATGCTTTAAAAAAAATGTTTATTTATCCCATTTTCGTTCTGGAAACATTTATGAAAAAACATTCTATTTTTTTTACATCAAAACGGCCTCTGCAACACGGTAGTCCCACTTGTGTAGGAATGTGACCTACTGTACAAACTTGCTTGGTTCCCTACCTTCCATGGGATATCCAAAAAATTCACTGTCGTGAACGGAGATCAGCGAGTGGCTGAAGAGAGAGCTGAAGAGATAGAAGAGGGGTATGATCCTGTTGGAGTCTTCTAGTGACATTGGAGACCCACGAGAAATCACCTGCAGCAGGGGCACCATGGACCTAAGAACACGTGGGGAAAAAGACATTCCCAGAAGTTCAAACTTACACACTTCTCTTCCTTGTCACAATAACACAGCCATCACATCTTTTACCGACTAGTGGTCTCAACATTCATTATGTATTTGAATGCTAAGCATTATTGTGCCCACATTTTTGTTTCTTTGGTTTCATCCATGTACAGCACTGATTGGAACAGCACGTGTGAAGTAAAACAGTTTCAAAGCAAACAAATAAAATGCCCTTTTGCCACGAAAGGAGTAATAAACCACTTCGCTGGCGGGGATGTGAAGACAACTTTGTTTCTGCTGTAAAATATGGTTTAAAAATACTTAAATTTGCTTATTACTCCAAAAAAAAAAGAAATAGTAACACGGTAGAAAAGAAAAGTTTGACAAAAGCCTTGAAATACTAAGATTTTTCTGTGTTTATTAAAATTCAGATCAGCAGACAAATATCCAAGCACTGATTTCTGAAACTTCAGAAGGCCTAAACAGGTATGAAAAACATTCTACATTTTTAGGTTTTGACACACGGAATGCTCTGTTTACTTTTTAATATTAAATCTATCACTCAAAACAGCACCCGCCTGTTGTTCCCTGTTTTTATCTCTGAGTTATTTACATTCCACATAAATCTTTGTTAAATGTGCCGAAAGCTTCTCTGTTGTGAGGCGCTTTGGTTTGCTCTTAAACTATGCTTTGGAGAAAGGAGTGAATAAAAAGCTTAGCAGCCCTCCAGTACCAACAGACTGAGCAGACATGAGGAAACATTTAACTAGCAGCATTTTCCCGTGAAATACCACACCTAGTGCTCTTCTAATGTCAGCAGTATAATTGCTGTTACACTGAGGCAAAACACATAAAAACCTTGAGAACTTGTGAAAAAAATGCTACTAAAAGCTTTTACTATACCCAGTGATCATCTTCGTCGTCATAGATGTTATCAAGTGCCAAAGATGCCTTAGGAACCTTGCGTTGAACGCCAAGCTGTAGAGGAGTCTGAAAGCACAGAAAATAAGTTTAAATAAACAGTTTAAATACATTTCAGCTGCCGAAGTAAACCAACTATGCATATTAACCTCCAATAAAACCCATGCTAAATAAAATGTTGTTTCAGTATTGCTTCATATTTTCATAAACATTTAACAATTCCCATGAAGCAGTAAGACTTATTTTTTAAATCTATTTACAGTACATGAATGATTTTTATATTTTAAGGGAAAAAAAACATTGCTTTGTTGTATTCATGAGAGGACATATAAAAACAGAAAATGGTTGAACAACACATCCCAAAGGAATTTCTCCTCCATATTAAAAGGTGTCACATTCCTTATGTGCAATGAAATAGATTAAATGACCCATTAAGCTTTATTTAGGTGAGGCACCTTCCATTAGTAAACTAGTTGACAGTGAGGGTTTCAGCCCAGGTCATAAACAGATCCTGGCTTCCTGCAGAGCCCATTTAAGTTAATGAAGAGAACAATGGTATAACACCACACCACACAAAGCTCAGGGGTGACCCACGTGAGCCTGCATGCTTCGACACCTTCTGAGAATTGCAGCAGAGCAAATACGACTGGAACCTGTCCTTTTCAAACAATCCAAAGGACAGGTATAGCACACCGGCGAAAATGGACTCTACTCTGTGCATGTGCCTTCATCACATGCTGTGCTTTGTCTCCATTTACAAGGCTGAACCAGTGCAAGGTAGCACTGAGATGGTAATTGAGTAAAATAAAACCCCACATACAATAGCTCTTGCCCAGGAAACTAAACAATTGGAACCTAACTGCATTTCTGTCCCTTCACCCCTTTTGCTAACACAGGGTTAAGACTGGGAAGGAAAATATCACCTCCAGAAACAAATCAGATGTCACCTATATAAAAAACCTTGCTGTCACTGTCTCTCCAATTCTTAATTAGAGAACAGAATAGCAAATGCAACTTAAACAGCAAAATCAAAGAGCAAAAAACTCATCCAAGATAAGGAACGACTGAAAAATATCTTTAAGAAATAAATCTAGATGCATGCCCATTTATCCACCACAGGAAACTGGAACACTTTTTTTATTGTTTTAATAGTGTGCTTGTGTTTGATTGGAATTAGAAACAAGGCACTAAAATGCTGACTGACAAGGCTGATTTAAAGAGTGTCAGAAGGAAGACCCCCCCTCTCCACAGACACTGCCATTTCAATCATGAGATGAAGGCCTGCATATGCAATAAACTCAAAAGGGCAGCACCAGCAAAGGGGCAAAGTGTACATCTAAGGCATAAAAATGACCTTGAAAAGCCAAACATTTATTTATCCAGAACTGCGATTTTAAAGCCTGTCATACAATTAACACAAATTTTATGAAATTGTTGGATTTTGGCTTCCTATAACAAAACACGAGTGATAGCTATGAAAAAAAGGACGCAAAACTGAAGCCTGTTCCTAGTCAAGACCTTAGGCACTGTGCTGTACCTAGTGACACAACCTAAAAACAGAAGTTACTCATCCCCCAGCCAATAATATTTTACTTATAATTGCAAGTATGGTATATAGTTGTTTTTTAAATGAACTTTTTTATCCAAAACTATAATGATCAAATTGAACACTGTTAGATGTGAAGGAGACTGAATATCTGCAAAACCCTCAAAGAAGTTATACAAAGTGACATTTTCCTGCTTCATAAGTAATCAGCCCCCCCAAGTCAGTAGTTGGTGGAAGCAGGGATTGCAGTAGTACTCTCAGTATTTCTCGATAGGATTTCTACCAGCTTTGCACAGTGGAGTGGTGTAATTCTGTGCATTCCTCCAATTCTGACAAGCACATGGGGAGCCATCAATGGACTGCAATCATCAAACCTTACCATAAATCTTTTATGGGATTCAATCAGGACTTAAAGGAAATTCACTCTCTTCTTTCTTGTCTGAGCACTTTAGCCTGCTGAAATGTGCATTTTCACTCAGTTTCAGCTCCTCAGAGGACTCAACCGGGTTTTCCTCTAATTTAGTCAAAAAATTTTTTCCTTCAGTCCTTCCCAGTTCTCACAGGTGAGAAGTAGCCCTGCAACAAGATGCTGTCGCCGCCATATTACTAAGTTGGGATGCAGTTAGCTGGCTGATGTGTTGTGTTGGCACCAGATGTAACCCTTTGCCTTTACACCAAAAAGTTAAATCTTTGTCTCCTTAAAGAAGTTCAAATTTGTCTTTTATAACCTTCTGCCAACATGCCTAAATATCAACTGAAATCTTTTTTTTTTCAATCAAAACTTCATTCTTGACACTCACCCATAAGGCCAGGTTTATATAAGCACCAGGACATTGCCCATGTCCTGAACACCGACTCCCATCCCAGACACAGAACTTGCAGATCTTTCAAACTCACCACTGGTTCCGCAGTGCGATTCCTTAACAATTTCCTGCTTGCCTGCTCAATTTGGAAGGATGGCCTGATCAATGTAGTATCTGAACTGCATGATGAACACTCTACTTTTTAATGATGGGCTTCAGTGTACTTAGGGGAATAAGAAACCTTTGCCTGCATTGTGCCTCTCTACCACTTTATCCCTGATTTGTTTCGAAAGCTACTATCACGATGTGAGCTGTTGCTTGAAATTCAATATCCATATGAAGCAACTTAGAGACATTTACTTTTACAGAGACATTTACAATGTATTTACTTTGAAGTTCAGTTAAACAACTTTGGTTACACACAGAAACTTCTAATATAGCGGCCTACTGTATCAAACTAATCTGTTACACCTAAAATGACATAGTAATAAAGATGCCGTAATAAAGATGTTCAATACTTGAATGAAAAACTGAACGCTATAACGCTATAATGTAATTGAGAATATTCTAACTTTCTTTAAAACCTTATTTACAAACTCTCAGCATTTTTCAACTGCCCAGAGAGGTGAACACTTTGTGACAGTACTCAATCTTTTAATTTGCCATTATACAAATTATGTTCACACTTGCAAAATAATGAGAATTATTCATAAAAAAAAAACAAAATTAAAAAGTAGCAATGTTTTTCATTAGCAGAAAGCCATAACACTTTAATCTCAGACTTCACTACAATGTCAATATCCCTCATACAAAGAAGGATCCGTTTTTCACGTGTGGAAAAAATACACCAAAATTAACATATCAATTAAGACGCCAGAGCACGTAAAACACACCACTTCCCTGTGACATGAAGCACTTTAGAGCAAGCGGTTTTAAAAGGGAAAAGATCTCATTAGAGAAATAGGTTTCAAAAAGGCCTGACAGCTCTGATTTGATCCTCTGCAGCATGAATGAGTCTCCCACATTTATCCGTTTGGAAATAACAGTTATCCACTGCCGGAAAATCCATAGTACTGTACATTACACACACATGGATTTACATAAATGCACCTCACTCTTGTCTTCACTCTACTAAATATGTTCAGCCCTTATAAAATACATAATTTGAAAAAGACTTACAGTTTGGTAATATATCTTAAAATGTATCGTACTTTGTCCAGTGACAAACCTCTAATAATTACTGCATTTGGGTATTTGGACTGAAAGGGGTTTTTTTTCCACTCTGTACTTCTGCTGGGACTAAGCAATTAGACCTACTCTAATATGAACTTTAATGGCACCTTTACAAAACAGCTGCAACTTTGTGTTAGATCGTCACAAGGAGAGTGGAAGAAATTACTTTGGTGCCTCATGTTTTTTCACCATGTAAACTACACAATTATAGTTGGTGTGCTAAGCAAACATCATCTGGGCGGCAGGCTTGCTTACAGTCCTTCTACAGCTGGTAATGACTGTGGTGCAGTGTGGCCGGCTGTATTATATGTGAAGCAAACACTTAGGGAACAATTACATCTAAGACCGTCCAAATGTTTAAGAACAGCATTTAGAATTTCTATAGGTACACCTTACATGTAAAAGACAAAAAAGGTTTAATCTGTAAAAGTTTAATTAAATAACCATTAGATTTATCCTTGAGGAGAAAAGAAACAAACCTTCCATATTAATATTTATGATATGCAGCTCCTGGGTTACAAACCCCATTTTAGATCACAATAAATTAAAATACAGCACAATATGTTCTTCTTGTAAAGCTATCCAATCCCACTCTACATTAAATCATCTTCTTCACTGAGCTAATTATTTTGTACAGATCTCCAATAATGACGAAGAGAGAGTAGGAGGATTTATGGTAAAAGTGGTAGCAGTGAAAAGGCAATAAAAAAACTTAGCTTCCATTGAGTGGTTCAGTAAGCAGATTCCAATCTTTCTTGCAGTATATTTAAGGCAATTACAATTAGAGGTACGTCTGCTACTACGACACATAAGACTTAGATTAGAGACCAAGGCTTCAAATAAAGGTCATGGATGAACAAGAAATTAGAAGAAACAGAGATCTTGGACAAACCCAAAGAGAAACCAACCTCCACTTGCATAGGCACAGCCCACTTGACATATGCAAAAAGGAACATCACATTTCTTGAGGCGTCCATAAAACTCAATTGTTTTAAATTAAACTCTTTTTTATTTTTATTGTCCTGCCATACCACCTCTGCACTTGAGGCAGGTTCTTCAGATTTGTGTAGCGTACGTTTTTTTTTTGCTTACAGCTTACTGGACAGAGCAATCAGGAGTTATCCAGACTTCACACAGCTTCGCGCCGTGTGCCAGTGGGGCAACACAGTAGACAGGCTTTAGCCCTGTGGAATTGGGATTTCAATTATCAAACTGAAATTGAATTATATGGTTATAAGGTTGTCTCGATAAAAAATAAAAACTGAATAAAACTAGATTCCCTATACAACAGGAGAAGAAGTTGCCTCAAGAACTTGTTTTGACATGCAATATAATATTGCACGAGCAGTCCTCACAATAGCAATCCACGTCAAGAAATATAAATGTACTACTTGCTACAGAGAAGACATTTTCTTTGAGGAATCCCTTGGAAATGAAAAGAAGATTCAAACTTCAGCAGTGCCCATATCTAAGACAACCTATGTAATTCCACAGCATTATAATATTTGCAGTCTCTGTGCTGTCCACACCATTTCATAATCTTTGCTGCCTGCTAGGAAACACTAAATATATGTTTAAAGAGCCTGAAGCACTGCAAAAGGCAGTTTTATATACAGTATGTATTTCTACTTGAAGGACGAAAAGAAAGCCGTACTATGTAAAAATTTAGATGAAAAAATGGACATGGATAAAAACGATACACCTGTGTATTATCTTTGTATATGCACACTTTTTACTAATGTAAAGGTTGTGTAAGAACACTAGTGGAAAGCTGACTAAACCTAATAGAAATTCTCTGTATGTGTAATGACACTCCATGGATGTGCTGTAAATCAGCAGTCAGGAAACAGCAGCTGTGTTCACAATTACAGACAAATAAGCACACCAAGTTCTCCTTCCTTCGGTGGGCACCTTTGCCAGAAGTCTACCAGTAAACTCTGAGCAAGAGCAACGATTCGTTTAAATCCAGTAATTATTAGCCAGGGAAGCCAGTTATTTACAGCAGTAAAGCCAGGCGCCCTAATTCAACAGCAACTATGATCTCCCCATCTCACATCCTGCCCTAATGCAATTATCCTGAAAAGAGCTAATTACCCTAATCGAGGAATGACAGTTTCACTGACATCTTACTTCCTCTGGCAGCCATAAACACAAGTGGGTGAAGACAGAAGCTAATTGGTTTGCTTCATCATTATTTACATTAGTGCTTGCCTTACTTAAAAGGCAACCTAAATGGGCAGAAGGAGTTGAAATAAATGACCTACTGCTAATACGTAAAGCAATCTGTTTACTGCTTCCTAAAACTTTTTTTTTTCTGAATTCAATCCCTGGTCATTTTTCTCCTGTTCAGCACCACTTCAGTTCGGAGAAGCCGGCTGTGGCTGAACCTGCCCTGTCAGCCTGAAAGTGATGGAGACAAAGTCGAAGACGAAGCAGTGAAGCCGGCGCGTACTTCCTCTGAGAGGCCCGCTTTTTCTGCGCACCGAAACTGGACAGACCCACTGTGCGAGTCAGTGTAGCTCTGACATGGCTCAGACTGACAGTGCTGTGGAATTTGATCTACAGTAGATGCTCTGTACATGCTGAGAAAGACGCACAGACACCTGTCGAGTGGAAAGGTTGCAGAGAAGGTTTTTGCTGTACTACAATTCCACTGTACTATGTATGTCGATCTTTATGTGAGTTTTAATACATATGCAGGAGGCTCTCTTAAACTCGACATTTAGGGTAATACAAGAGATTGAAAGGGGCTGCATTCAGGTGGTAAAAGAAAAGACTGAACGCAGAGAATGCAGTTTTGGGCGTCAGTTTGCTCCTGAAAATGCCCATTTCGTAACAAATAAAACCTCATTTCAGCTCCTCACTGAACTGTACTCTGGCTTCTTGCAATCCTACAATGCTCCGTTCTGGACAGCCCTGGTCCAGCCACAGGGGGTCCATGAGCAATCGCCAAGGCAACGCCCCCCCCCCCAACACCCGCAACGTTACAGTTACAGTTCCATGTTGCCTCGTTTCCTTGGCAAACTCAAGTCCCAGGTACGATCTGAATTCAGATTTTTGCCCCGCAAACCACTGTACCGTGAGAAATGAAGTCATATAGCGGGTAGCATTCTGCTATATGTGGGGAAAGTACTAAATATAAAGCAATAAAATGTGTCACTCAAAAACATTCATTTCTCCTTCAGGTAATGTAAAGACTCACTGAGAGTCAACGGAGTGAAACTGACACGAAATTGACAAACAATTAGTTTAAAATGATTCTTATTACAACTATAATTACGACTACTTAAACACATTACACGAATAGCTGTGTGCAACTGCTTTTATTTGGGAGTTGAAACCTCTAGGTGGGAGTGGGCCCAGAATGCAACCCCGCTATTTGCTAATTATGGGAAACTAATTATGGGACATTAGTCGTTAATTTGGGCAGCAGTTTTCAGGACCTTATCCGCCGTGTAAATTGAGAACTACCTCTTGCTGGAAAAAAAAACATGAAATTCTATACGCAGCACCTCATACATATCACAAGCCCCTCAACCCCCGCGCCGCACAGCCCCAGTGAACACCAGTTAAATTTGTAGGGCGGATCCACCCAGGCGGTGAAGGGCCACCTCCTGCTGCGCTCTGATGGCTTCACCCCCACAGGGCCGCTCACCTCACTTTGGGGACCATCATGCGGTGCTGCACCATCAGCGTGTGGCAGATGGACGCCATCATGGTGAAGACCTCCTCGCTGGCCGCGTCCCTCCACACCAGGTTCAGCAGGGCGTTCGTCTGCTGCTTGGTGTCCAGCTTGTGTACGCACTCCTCGGTGATGAACTGCACCGATATCCTGGTGTCGTCCTGCCACCACAGACAAGAGAGAACGGCAACGGGCCATAACCTTCGCCAGCCAGCAAGCGCAAGCGCGTGCCTTCTATCAACAGCTGCCTCAGACAGGCAACAGATGAGATTTGCATGAAGAAATAAAACTATATTTAGCTGAGGAACTTTCTACGGAAAGAGCAGTAAACATTCCAACTAAACAGTTGGTAAAGGCCAGGGGGAAATTTGGCCAAGATGCCAAGGTAGCAATAATTATCATTACCTAATAAATTCTGAAGACTAGCCTGAAGTCTGGCTGTAAACCTGGAAAAAAGTTTAAGCAGGATATGAACCTTTAAGTTTTATGAAACTACAAAAACTACCACTATAGGCCACTATAAAGCATTTACTAGCTATAAATTACCAACTACTAACAGCTAAACAATGCCTTTCCACTTCCAATAATTTTCTTTTGTGCATGTTAGAGATATTCCTGTTACCTGTGTGGACACTGCTTTGATGCTGGTGTCATCTTCGTCTTCAGAGTCACTCAGTACTTCCTGTCTGGTGTTGGCCACTGATACAGGGAGCTGGGGCAGCAGGGTTTGTAGTGTTCTCAAGTACAGCAATAAACCCTCTTCTGTGAGACCACCTGCCAGCACACAGAGAGAAAAAGCCATGTGCATCACAAATCCAAAAAGGTTAAACCCTCTGCTGCTTTGGCGATGCTTTAAGTAAGATTACACCAATACAAAGGCAAAAATAATGTTAGCGTTCTAGTTTGATTAAAGTAAATGCGAGTCTAGAAAGTTGTTATGAAGGTACAAAAGAAAGAAATAATATTAAAACACACATCTAAATTGGGCCCCGGCTAGCTCTGCTGGTAGAGTATTAAGACTCATAATCTCAGGGTACGCCAACTTCTAGATGGGTCTATACCTATCAAAGAAACAGATCCTCACGTGTTTGTCGATATCGACCTCTTTGGTTCCGCATTTGAGACACAACAATGTCAAGACATCCCGTCCAACCTTGACATCCTCAGACACCACTCAAACAAACACCTGCAACTGCGCAATATCACTTGGGTCCACCGACGCATCACACTGAACCGAGAACCACTGGAAAGTCCCTCGTGCTCCTCCTGCTTCATTACGTCGGCCGACAGCATGGAAACTCTCCTCGCCTCAGTATCGGCACACAACTCAGAAATCAGGAAAGTAGCGCCGCACAGGGGACGTCAGCCCGTCCGGGTCCCGCCCCTTACCTAAGTGCGTCTCCCCCACCGCCAGGACAAAGTAGAAGAGCCAGGGCGCCTTGCGTCTGGGCTCCGCGCCGGCGCTCCCGGCCCCCAGCATCGCGCCGAGAAAAGGCTCAAAGGGGAAAGAGCAGCGAGCGTCGGCCAGCGCGGGGATGAAGAAGTGGAAAATCTGCTCTGTGAAAGGCGCGGATATGAACTCCTCGGTGAAGGCTGCAAACACATACTGTCTGGAAAACACAAACAGGCCCCGGGCGCACGCATTATTCAACAGGCTTGAGAAGGAGAAAAAACAAACACAACCCTGCTGAGCACACAACACTTACAGGCCCTGTACTCTCCATACTCCAAATGCAGAATACATTAATGTATACTTGATTCCTATCAGTGGGGAGGAGATCAGACTAATGAACGCAATTCAAACGAGGAGGTCTTGATTGGTAAAGGCCAGGGGGAAGTAGGTAGCACCCCGACTTTTTCAGAGAAACGCCCTGAGATTTGTAATGACCACGGAGAGTCAGCACCTCTGTTTTACTTCTCACCTTTTTTAGAGTATAGTGTCCTCGTCACTATACTGGGGCATTAGGACCCACACAGGCCGCATTGTGAGCGCCCCCTGCTGGCTCCACTAACACCTCTTCCAGTAGCACCCTTTGCTTTCCCAGGAGGTCTCCCATCCAGGTACAGACCAAGCTCACACCTGCTACTATACCAGGAATTGTACTTTTCCAAACAGGAATCAATAATATAAGCTTTCACTTTAGCCACTGTTCTTTGTCACATTAATACCTAAACCGTTTGGGAATTTTAGAATATTGTCATCATTGTTTAACTTAGCTTTGACACATGGCACAAATGAATCAAATATTAATGTTCTGTCTGTCCATCTTCCTAGTGAACCTATTTTCCTCCTCAGTCACCTCTGACTGTGCTTACACAGTAATAGAATCAAGCAGTAAAGTGTGTGGCCAAAAAAGGGTGTTTCAAGTAAAGTCTTAACTGCTAAATAAAAATAAGTTATTACACAATGTTTTCAGTAAGTTACTCACTCACACACACGAGGTCTCACGCAGCTTACTTAGTAAAACCAAGGAGCCACTACAATGCCAGGACTCAACCCAACCGAACAGATGCCGTGGTTGTTGGTGACTCCATGTCAGGGAACACCACAAGAACAGTTTGCAGGAAAAATTCATAGTACAGAGCCTACAGTGTGCTACTGTACATACACCCTTTTTCCCCACATAGGGTGGGGTAACACAACAGGGTAACTCTGTATGTCAAAACGTGCAGGTCAACAAAACAGCAGGAAATTTCATTTCAGAATTTACAAAAGTTCACCTTTTATACCAGACCTCTCTTGACCTCTACTACAGAAGTAGCCTATGTTATTCAGACCTCCAACGTCAGAAGGCAATAGGAACGCCTCACTATACAGTGAGACAAGGAATGTCTGTCATGAGATCAATTGCTCGGCTAAGGGATTACAACAGGCTCTTCAGACAAGGCCCACTGATGATTCCCGCTAATTAGAAAACTGAAAAAAACAAACCGGGAAAATAACAGGAAATTACACCCATATCAGGAAAAGTTCAGAGCTTAATTCTGAGATTGTAATTCTAGAACAATTATCAGAAATATACCTAGTAAGTATATAGAAAGCCTGGGTTAGTTTAAACCTTTGTGGGTTGTTGAGATTTGAGAGTCCTGCCTCTGAATTCTGAGGTGGATAACATCAGAGCCCATTTCCCAAAGAGTCAGATGAGAATTTTGTGCCACTAAGCAAACCGATTGTCTGCCAAGTTGAAGGTGCACACTCTGTAGAGTCTTCCTTTGGATGATTTTTTTTTAAATTCCACCACTCTTGAGTTACTGTTTGTATTTGAATAATTCACGTATGAACGTATCTCTTTCCTCATCCTTGAAAAAAATCATAAATCTGATAATTGTGTGTATCTAATAAACATAAAAAATATACACAGACCTTGTATAAAACTATTATTTGACAACCAACAACGTGAATATTTACTATGCATATATACATATACAGTGTGTAAAGAGATCTTTGTGTGTCTTAGTCCCACTGCTTGCAAATATTGCTGTACATCAATGAAAACTCTGAATTATTTTTTATATCAAAGAAAGCATCCTATGATATATGAGCACTTTTAAATTTCTGACACAAAAACAAAAATTTAGGACATATAGGACAGTAACAAATATGATGGAATGTTTATACAAGCTATAGTATCAATGGACACAAAAAAGCCTTTGATACAATATATTTAGATTTCCCAAATTTATGTGGTAAGGTTCCACAATAAAGGCAAATGTTCAAGTTGAATTAAAATGGAAAACAGCAAGAAAATAGCATGTGAGTAATTACAATTTCTTTGGGTCTTTTAGTGTCCAACCATATGTCCTTTAACAGTACTTAGTAACGCACAAGCAAATTTGTATTAGTACCACACTAGTATACAGAGATAACATCATAAATTAATTTTTATTTATATGGAAACTATATTTTCTGAAGAACTGTAACTTTAACCATTCTCATGAAATGCAGCTGTTTACTGTGTTTGACTGACCTAATATTAACTAAGTGACAAAACTGCATCTAGTTTCTACAGACTACAACTCTTTCTTACTTTTCTTTACAAAGAAAGTCAACAAACGTGCGCAGCTAACAACATTCAGAATGCAGGGCAAACACTTGATAACTCTCCTCTTGTTAAGCTATAAAAGTGAGCCAGACTCCTCAGCTGGTTGTAAACAAACTGGTGAAGCAATTACAGTGTCCTTGTAACCAGTGGAACGAATAGCTTCCAGTTTCAGTTTACAGGGTGATTTTACTGTGAGTCACCGGGACAAAAGAAATGCTCGACCCAAGGTACAGTACATTTTTAGAGGGCTGTGATGTAGAATCCCCAGTGCAATATTTCCACCAGTCCAAACAGGACGGGAAGACCAGTTTAAAGATGTCGGGCACAGGCACAGTGCTCTTACCTTGCTCCCTCTGCACAGGAGGAGTATGTAAAGTGCAATGGCTTCAGAATGTGCTCCAGGAGAGTGCTAGCAAGAGGAACACGAGGAGCGTCGCGATATTCTAAACTTGGAGGAAGCTTGTAATTGACTAGAATGTAAAGGGATCTGTAGTACCCTGAAAGACAGTGAAAAAACGAATTCTATAAAATAAATGAGTATTCCACATTTCAGCCATTAAAGGAATACACTACTCTAAATTATATATCTACCAAGACATTTATAGTATGATCATTTGATATTCATGTTTAGAATCCTTTACGTTACAATGATAAATTAAGTTTGCAAGGTATATTACCAAATTAAAGCCGGACATGAAAACATCTGGAAAAACAGCCCTGGAAGGATACTGACCTTTATGTACCATATAGTGCAAAATTTGTTCAATTAAAGACGCTACACAATTAGCATCTTGAAGAACAGGCAAATAAGTTATCTCTGAAGAAAATATCTCCAGCATTCTCATGGGAACGGCAACATTCAAATTGTCATCCTTGCAAGTCTGCAAAAGTCTAGGAATTAAACAAAAACATGATTATACATCGTGGTTATCCTCTGCCGCATTATTCAGAAGTATCTACAGTACTATCTGATTTTATTATATGAAGATCACCACTTCATTCCATCTCCCTCCCTCCATGACAGATTTTGGGTAGTTCTAAATATAAGATCACCAATGTGCCCCAGCAGTGCAACTCTTTACAAAGCTACTAGTGTCAGAGGAATTAAGTCCTAACATGGTTTCACAAACTCAGAACACTACAGTAAACATACCATGTCTGAACACCAAATAGTAAAAATGCAGCAAACTAAGCGTGACTAAATTCAGGACACTCTACAGGAATGATGGCTTGTGGAAGTTTGGACTTCTGACACTATTCTAACAACTGGGTTAGTGTCTCCTCTCATCTGTGCCTTTTTAATATACCTTCCTAGGATAAAAAAAAACATAAAATTCAGCAGATACATAGAGCTTTTCAAGAAATTTATTTTATTAAATATTTGATGGATTTTTAGTACTCACGGTGTGTGATAAAGACAGAAACATGTCCCAAACTCTCTAGGTAGGCCTGTAAAGCCATTTTTTTTGTGTGAATTCAAATTAATTCTGCCTTCAAACTGAACCGCATGGCAATTAACACACGCAAACCCTAACTTAAAGGCTGATGTTTGCAATAAAAAATTGGATGAGGAAATCATACAGTATAATTAGAAATACTATTTAGCAGGTAGGGCTCTTTGCTCCTGCGTACTGAAAGAGCTCTTATATTCCTGGGCAAAGCATATAACTCATAAGAGATTCAAATTATAAAAATACTAGTGTCACATTCAGGTGAGTTTACGTATTCGCAAATTTTCCTACTACCACAGAATACAATACAGTAGACTCGCAATTTACATGAGGGTTAGGGATTTTGAGTAGACTGTAAAGCCAAATTCGCATACAGTCAAATTTTACCATGTAACCCTTCTAAAAACCCTCTACTAACCTCTTATGGTAATACAATATATTACATCCAAGTATAAAAACATTAAATAAATAGAATTGGTTCTATATTTTGCAGGGCTGACTGCGTAAACCTGCAAATTGAGAGTGCGTAAGATGCAAGTCGACTGCATACAATTCTATTCATACTGAAGGCTACAATTCTCATAATATATACTTCCTGAATGGGCTTGGTTGAGATTGAAGTTCTTCAACCAAACCAGAACAGTCCTGGTTTAACCAAAATGTGATCAACTTTAAAAAAAAGGATGTTTTAATGTTTGGTCTAGTGGAATGGATAGACTATACCTGCAACATAGGCCCAGCAACCTCTTTATCTGAAAAACACACGTCTGTCGGTCAGGACCCGCCAGCTGCTTGATAAACTGGACGTTGGACTTCACCAAATTCTGGCACATCCATATCTGCAAAAAAGTGCATATTCAGCAGCAGCTTCTAATTGACTTCATCACCCTGATAGAGGCTAGATATCAGCATTATATCAATAGCGAATCACTGCAGACTTGGGCCAACATGAACGTACTTTGAGTACATCTCATATTAACACTGTGCTCCTAATCCAGGGATGGAAATAAGATTCTCTGTGCATTACAGGTTGAACCATTTCAGGTTTTAAAACCTGTTGGCTATTAAAATGAAAACTGCAAGTCCCCCCCCCAAAAAAAATGTCATATCATTAATATCACTGGTCCTCTTACCAATCTATTTGAATCTTCACTCTGTCGGTAGAAAAATAAAAGCTGTCGTACTAAAAGAGTCAGGTTGGCTCCATCGCTAAGGGAAATCCCTCCGCCTGACTGTGCTAGACAAGCACAGCGATCAAACTCGCTTCTCTGAATGGCATGCTGGAAAAAGAAAGGGATACGTTAAGAGAAAGTGCATAACTAAAATCAATTAGGGAAGAGCTGGAAAACCAACACAAAAAAAGCTGTTCTTCCAAGGTATGCGAAGATCAGGAATCTCTATTAGCACACATGAATTCAAACCCTTTAACAGACAGACTTTTAAAAGACATCCATTGCATCACTAATATTCTTTACAAGTTTGATGTTATGTTTTGCTCCTAAAATGTCATACGTTTATAATATCAAAAGCCTATTATACTGATTTTAGGATACTGGCAAATCCTGTATGTTACAAACTTGAGAGACAGCTGATTCAGTGGACTGCAGAATTAATTCATTAAAGCTTCATATTAAAAAGTTACACAAAACAATAAAAAGCACCTTATTTATCCACAGACGCAAGCACAAAAATTTAAAAGAAATTACAAGTGATGAGTCATTTAAAAACACTTAATCAATTTAATTGTCAATTTAACAAACAGTGTATGTGCGTAACTGAGAACATCAGGGATTGGAAATGAAAAAACACCTTTTTTAGAGGTCTTCTGTTTGTCATCATATAAAGCATCGTGTGTGCATGTCAGAACTATTTCAATATAAGGAAAAACATACCTGTTGTTTCCTATCTTTATATCCTCGCACGTAGGACTGAATAATAATTGCATTTTTCAGTCTTCGTCTTTCATCCTGGGAAGGAATTGCAGAGACACTCAGTAGATAATTAACAAAAGCCCTTGTCAAAACCTTTTTTCCAAGTAAGCGGTGTTGTAATAAACAACGAGCACTGGGTTCTGTAAGGATGTGGTATTGAGAAGCTAAACAATGTTTTCAGGAAGACAGAGGCGTCCTCACTGATTCTCATCAGACTGTTTAAAACTGTTTTCACTCGTATACTGAAAATCCTACCTGTATCAAACAAGGAAAATGTCATATATTGGAGTACAAAAAAATGGTGGACCTAGTGAAGAATTGACATAGAAGACAAGCTCTCCAGTAACATAAAAAAACACTTTTGACAAACAGAAACATATTTCACAAATGAACTTTTAAGAACTGCCCAAAATCTATATATACTGTAGGATATGTGATAAGTCTTGCCTCACAAATAACTGAGGCACAAGCTCACCAAGGAGCAGGTGATGAGCACAAGAGAACCCTACCGTCTGTTGCAATCATTATCATCATTACGTCCTGTACATCCATCTGCAATCAGAATTATCATCTATTTTTTCCCAGGGTAGAATTGCAACAACCATGATCCTATCCCAACAGTCCTACAGCCTGGTCAGGACAGTCTATAACAGGGCACCACACTCAAACAGGGACAAGTCAGAATTCACCTAGCCAGAGCACAAACTTAGAGATAACCAACACCAACATGGGGGGAAAAACCTGCAAAAACCAGAGATGAACCCAGGATCTACCACGGCACACTCATCGACATAGTATTGTTGTGTAAAGTACAACATTACATGTCGATTAAAACCTACAATGTACACCTCGTTACTCTAAATTGTAAAGCAGTAACAGATAAGGTACGGCTTTGGAGCCCCTTGTGAACGTCTGGTACATTTTAGTGTCCTTGGAACCGCTCAACTCATGTTTTCAAATGATTTTAATGTATTAATATGAAATGTGTACTGTCAGTTTCTAAAAATACTACTTAGCACACAACAGTCAGTGGTCTTCAAGATGGCTGAGGGCCACACATGGGGATCTTGACTTAGCCAAATTCCACACAGACAGCTCTGTTCACTGAACTGGGTGGTAGTGGTGCTGTTGCAACGAACCTACAGTCCCCTACACTTAACACTTAAAACATCCAGTTCAAGTATTACTAACTAAAAAGGGCTGGCATCATAAAAGTGAGTGCAGTGGTCTTACAAGATGAAAAACTTGCCAAGCTGTGAACATACCAAAAAACAAATTATAAGGAAATCCCTTGACCCTTGACAACAGGTGCTGATGTACAAGAGTAAATACTGTAAATAAGTAAAGTGAATTTCCCACCAAATGCTCTTCACCAGTGGGTCCTGCTCACTTCTCAACTTTTGTCCATTGCACATCCATATATATATATAACTACCCTTGTTCTAAAACGATGTTGGCTGGTCAGTCTTGCACTGCCAATTAGACCACTGAAATGTAAATCTACATGGGGTCAGACAGAGGAAAAGGCTCAAGATCCAGACTATAAATGAGGTGTCAAGTATCAAGTCAAAACCAAAATCATCAATGCAATGCACTGAACTATAGCCTCTGCTATGTATGGGCACATGCTGTCATGTTGCAGAATAAGACTGGTAAACAGGCATCCATGCAGTAGAAAGACAATATCTGAGGATCAGAAATGCTGCAGCTCACTCACCACATACAGTACACTGATGGGAGTGGCATTCAGCTTTTACCCTACCCATGCTGCAGAACTGAACTCACACTGTCAATCTCTCCAGCTGTCCAGACAAGAAGGTTCAAGCAACAGAGCTTGGGTGTTGCACTGGTCAAGATCCAGCCAGTCCTCGTTATATTACCAGAGCATCCATAACCTCATAAGGCAATTTGCTGAACTGACCGTGGCTGTGCCCGGGGAATATGTTGAAAAGTAAAACAATCTTCTCTTCCTGAAAAGCATATTCATTAGATAATTTCCGAATTAACTTGTTCACGCGCACTCATATTTATTTGTATCTACGAGAGCCCAGTTATATTTGTCTTTATCCTAGGGCAACAGCTGAAATTGACCTCTGTGAGTGCCGTGTAAGATGAGGTCATGCATGACTATTCCACAGCTCATGCTGCTTTCGGTGTTTTTTAGTAACTCAGCTATGTTCAGTTCCCATTTGCTGTGTTCGAGGGCTCTTTTAGCTAGCCAAATTATTTTTTTGTAACCTTACCTCCCGTTTTCGTCTTTCTTCTTGTGTCCGATGCAGAAGTGATGCTTTTTCCTCCTTGAAATGATTAAAGGGAACAGTTAAACACAGGCTAGAAATCATTCCATAAATAATAATTCTTCGTACTTAGATAACACTCTTCATCTCAAAGAATCCCAACACTCTTTATACACAATACAGACTTCGGTCACACATGGGAAACACAGCAGACCACCTGTACAGCGGATCAGGTGAAGTAAGAAATTGCTCCACCTGTTTAATTATAGGGGAACTGTAGGTAGGCAAAATTGTACAAAACTACCACAGGATCTTTCATGACGAAGCAGTCAGGACCTTGGTTAAACATCTCGTCCAAAGGACAACGTCTCCCACAGCAGTGTCTCCGGTCACCATACTTGGGTTTTGGTTTTGGACATTCTGGTCCACAAGGGAAAAATACCACGTACTGATTTACCAAAATCACTTAAAGTAGCCACCTGGTTTTCAATGGAGGCATCCCATTCCATTACTAACCTGGCCCAGCTGTGCTCGGCTTCTGAGGTCTAAGGGCTAGAAAGTGGTACTACTGCCCAAGTCACATCAGAGGCAAACTGTGAATGGGTTCCTAAGGCAACATCACACAACTAACAGTGCACTGTTGGGTTGGTATTATTGGTATTGGCTAGGGTTCTCCCTGCAATGATGGTCTCCCTGCAATGATGTCAGTGAGGGATGTGTTGCTTCTCTAATTGGTACTAACCCTCCCACAGGTCATTATGGAGCTAGCAGTCTGTTACACCAAAAATGGTTCTGATGGGTGGGCAGATTCTTATTCTTGCTGTGGAGAAATCATTGACGTTTGCCAAGATGCAAAGAAACAATTGAGCATTCCAAACTGGGCAGGTATACGATTGACAAACAAAAACAATTGTACTAATAATGGAACAGAAAGCCATTCAAAAAATCTGGAAATCGTCAACAAACCAAAAACCGTTTAATCCATGCCCCTAACATAACAAAAACATAACTTAACAACTATAATATAATAAGGGTAGACAATATTTTCATGACAAAATGTTTCTGCATAGAATAGGAAACAAAGAACAGTGATTTAATTTGATGTTGGGATCCAAAACCACTTTCCGCTAAAAACAGCAGCCACGATTAAGAACCACAACATCGAAACGTCATGAGAAATCCAGACTAACATCCATGATCATGACAGGACAACTACTTTTTATCATTAAACATCAGATCTGTTGTTTTCTAAAATCAATAACAGTGCATTCTCGGAGCTGCACTAAGCAGCTGAATACTTTCGCATTCCACATCTGCTGCAGGGACCTCCGTCACTCACAGAGACACACTTTGGTTACTGGGAACAATCCGTGAAGATACAGTGAAGATATCCCAAATCTGCGGAACTACAGTGACTCAAACTTGAATCTCACCTTTCTGCTTGCTCCCCCCAGAGACACCTTGGGTCTTGTTTTGAAATCGCCTTCAAAGCTGAACATGGCAACAGTTATTCATTTAGCACAAGGTCTTTTCATGAACGGGAGGCACTGGAACCTGGAAAAGAGCAAATGACTATATGAAAAAACAAAGTTCCACAGACACCCATAGCCCAGAGTGAAACCAAAAGGCAGTCACTGTAAAAGGAAGCTGTCACAGTGCATGCGACTCAACTGCAGGGCGTGTACTTCCTATCTGATATCTGAGAGAAGCGTGTAATAATTCCACTTTCTTTAATAAGGTAAAGCTGACTCAAGATCTAGAGGATGTCAGATTTGTAAAGCTCTCTATTAGACCTCAAAAGCTCTGCTTTCAGTCCATAAATGCCCAAAAAATCCTTAGCACTTCAGTAAATGAAACTGCTGGAAAAGTCCCTTCTGTTTAAGCAGTACTCTTAATCGTGTGATTCGGCAGCTCACACTGATAATCTGACTAAGAACGGTACCAAATCATGTCAGATAGCAGATAATGTGCCCTTGGTGCCTTTAAGCACCAAAGGCCTTGTTCTTTTGTTTTGAGGTGCAGTATTTTAATTTCTCATCTTCTCATCTTTCCCTGAGTAAAATTATTATTAAATAACACATGCATGAATCTTGGATATACTGTACAAACAGGTTAGACATTGGTCTCCGAAGAAGCAGACACCTGATACAGAACAGGATTCTGATGCAGCTCTAAGACTTAAGGCTGTTACTGCTAAACCTCTGTGAACGTGACTATTAATGACTTTGAAGCCTGGTAACCATAGTCAATACAAATGAAAAACATGCAAACATAATCTATAGAGGATACTGCAGGGAACTGTGTCAGCTTGTGAGCTGTAAAGAGCAAAAGCAGAAGTTATTTCCAGACTGTCAAGGAAAGACAATCATTCCAGCAGTAAAGCCCTGACATCTGAAGAAGTTGATGGCTCCACAGTTGAAAGAGTGTGATTTTACTCTTTTTGTTTCACAGTGTGCAACTAACTTGTCATTATTAATAATTCCTTTTCCATGTTTTACAGTCCAGATTTTTCAATAATAATTTTGAC